TCCTCTGTGGTAATTCACGTTTCTTTGCTATTGATGGATGTGCATAATGGGGCTGACTGAGGATCATGTAGCCTGCAGCTTGTCCAACTAGTTGTACCCTGGCTGTGAAGATGCAATCTGTCATGTGAACTCCTCTCTGTTTCACTTTCCCCTTCTTAAAAAACCTGTTGCATCAAGGACCCTAGCTGGAGACTCGCGCAGCCCCCTGTGAAACCTGCCTTCTCACTCCCTTTTTTTGGTGTGATTCAGGACTTTGGAGCCAGCAAAGACTGAGGAGCCCCCCCCTTTGCTGTAATAAGAAACAGACATAAAGTCCCCCTCTTGCCACTACAACCCCCCTCATTTTTATTTTTTCCTACGACCCCTTTGAAATTGACGCAGTCTGGGCAATAGATGCAGTCTGACCCTTTGGATGTTATTTTTCGCATCTCCTTTTTTTTGACAAACGCCCCTAAGAGCCCCAAATCGGGGACAGAAAGCGTTGGAGGACCTGAAACTTTTACCTGAAGCCAGGTTCTCCGGCGCTTCCCAACCAAATGGGGCTACAGAGAAGCATCTAAGCCAGTTCACAGAGCGAGCGTGTGTGGGGACTTCTCGCTGCCACGGACCCTTGATGCATGCTCCCCGCGCTCCAGTGGTCCCGTGTCAGAGGGCGGAGTTTTCGAAAGGAGGCCGCCAAAAATAAAAGGCAAAGAGACGGGATCGGCTGCAGCGGTTTCCCACAGGAGGAGGGAGTGTGCATCGGTCTGGTAACAAACAGAGAATGTTTCTCTCTTTAAAACAAAAAAAGAAAAAAAAAAAAAAAAGGAAATCACAAAAATCTGTGTTTTATTTTGGATATTTTCAGAATATTCGTCTTAAAATGCAGATTTTTTTTTTTTTTCATGAGCTGTTAGGACACTTACTGTAAAACCGTGCATTTTTTAATGTTCTATACTGTAGCAAATAGGTGCTTTCGGTACTTTAAATGCTTTCACTGAAGTGTTACACTAACATTTGCTTTGTTTCTGTCCCACGAGTTTCTGAAGTTTCCCTGGAAGGTGTGCAACTCCAATCTCTTTTGGTATTCTTTACCCAGCAGTTTTGATCCCTTCATTTCCTGCTTCTGTCTGATATGGGAAGTTGGGAACTGTAAACAGAATGCAGGATGGCCCAAATTACCAAAGCTTGCCCGAAGTGGACAGAACAGCACAGTGAAATGTTAGTGCAATGCCTTCTTGTGATAACTATGCAGCTAAGTTAAGATACTGTAGGTACGATCCGTGCAGTTTTTAAAGAGTTGTCTGAGTAGTAGTGTGATTGGAGCGCCTTAAACTTGAGGCTAGGGAAAGTAGCTCACTGTATTTTTGTTAGGATCGTAAAAGTAAATATTTGTAAGACTTGTGTTTTATTTCATGTTACCAAATGGAAGGTAAGTGATCTCATTACTGTTATTACTTGTTAGACTTCTCCCAACAGAGTAAAAGCTTGACAGTGGCAGTCCTTCCCTTCCTCCACCCCAGTTTGCTGTGTCAGATGGTGTGGTTTTCACCATCAAGATTGTGCTTTGGAAAAAAAAAAAGTACAGAATTCAGTTAGCTTATTCGCCATCAATGAATTTAACGCTGGAATACAGAGAAATGCATTCTGGGGAGGATGAATTTGAGTGCAGGGAGAAGCTGCTTGAAATCTACCACTGTTTTTCAGGACGCTGGTCTTTGTTCCCGATGATCTCAAATCCGAGTCTTCTACTCTTTTGGGATGAGTCTGTCTTGTATCTATTCCATGCATTTGCTAACTTCGTGTTATTTTTTTTTTTCTTATTACTGTCACCTGCATTCGTGCTCCCCACCTTTCGTTGGCACGTCCTCTCTTCTTCTCCCCTTTCCTCAACCCCACCCTTTCACTGTGCTTCGCACCTGGGCACTTCTCAAGATGTGGAAGACGTTAAATTTGTGATAAACTACGACTATCCGAACAGCTCTGAAGATTACGTGCACCGCATTGGCCGTACCGCGCGTAGCACCAACAAAGGTACCGCGTACACGTTCTTCACACCAGGAAACCTGAAACAAGCCAGGGAGCTTATCAAAGTGTTGGAAGAAGCCAATCAAGCCATCAATCCAAAGCTGATGCAGCTTGTGGACCACAGAGGAGGAGGAGGTGGTGGTGGAGGTAAAAACAAATGGGGAAGGGGCTACATAGGGAGTAGGTTCCCATCTTGAGGGAGGGAAGACCGAAGGAGGATAAGGAAGTAATAAGCGAAAGTCTAAGATAAAACATCATACATTTGTTTTGTACCTGAGGTTTCCATGTGTTCTATAAATATTTCTTTTTTACAAGCTAGTAGGCCACTTTTATAGCTTAGTCAGATTTTTTCTTTTTTTTTTTTTTCCAAATAACATCCTCAAAGAGCTAATTCTACGTGAAGTAATTAATTTCTTGTAGCTCCTACCTAATCAGGGAATGGGTTTTCTGACTTCACCTTCATGGGCTGAGACTATTTTTTCCTCCTCTCCCTGAAGGAATAATGAGTTTCACTACATCCCTAAGCTAGTCCTATATTTCTTCTGTTTCCTTTGTCTCCGAGTGCACTCATTAATGCTTTCTGAGCTTCATATCTACACCTTGAACAGAACGCAGGGATGTATGCACACAGCTGTGTAAGTCAGGCAAAAAGCTTTGCTCCTTGTGGGCAGTGCCCTGCCTGTATAAGGGGGAGAAAGGGTGGCAATAATTACCACAGTTCGTTGTTTAAAACTTGTTAACGGTACTAAATCTTAATGTATCCATCGCCAGGAGGTCGTTCTCGTTACCGAACGAGCAGTTCAGTAAACAACCCTAACCTGATGTACCAGGAAGAGTGTGACAGGAGGCTCCGGGGAGTGAAAGAGGGCCGGAGAGACTCAGGTGGCTTCAGAGACCGTGAGCGTGGTGACAGTTATGCCAACGGAGCCAACAAGACCTATGGCAGTGCCTACGGGAGCCCAAATTCCGCTTTTGGGGCAGCACAGAGCCAGTATGGTTACACTCAAGGGAGCTATGGAGCAGCTGCCTATGGCACGAGTGGCTATGGCACTGCGGAGTACAGTGCTAGTGGCTATGGTGCCAGCACCACAGCTGCCACCGCTGGGAGAACCTCACAGAGCACTACCCAACAGCAGTATGCAGGGATGGTGGGGCGCTCAGGCCAGCAGCCACAGCCGCTCATGTCACAACAGTTTCCTCAGCCCCCTGCCACTAATGTGATGGGCTATATGGGACAGACTGCCACCTACCAGTACCCACCCCCACCCCCACCCCCTCCACCCTCACGCAAATGAGACCACTCGCCTGCTGGTGACCAGTGTTAGACCTCTTGCATTTAAAGGAACCTTTTCTTTCTCTTCTTTCCCATTGTGATGTCTCTCTCATGCAGGCTAGGCTTAGAATTCACCATACAAATCCCTTGAGCCCATCAGAAATGGCCCCCAGTAATCCACATTACTGACCCTATCCTTTTTTTCCTTTTTTTTTTTTTTTTAAAGAGATATATATAGTTGACTGGAAAATTTATTATTTTTTGTCTTGCATGTTGAGGAAATTGGAAATTTTATTTTCTCTAAAATAAATGAGTATAAGGCAGATAGGTCCCAGCTCGATCATCTTGGTGTCTAAGGTTTGTGCAAAAAACTTGCTTTGAGGGGAGGAAGTTTCTATTCTGTAATACATTAACTTAATTTCAGGAAGTATCCAGAGAGGTGGGAACCTTTGGGGAGCCAAAAAGCAGTTCGTTTAACATGATAAATGCAAGGGAGCAATGCTCACTTTTCCTAATCTTAATATATTTTTTTAAAGTAGCTCACTATTGTTGCTTGTAATCTATCATAGGTAACTCTCTATAGGAAAACTCTGCTCATTTGTCTCAGTGCAGTGGTGTTCTGAGTACATTATTGGCATTCTCTGCAGCTCTGGTAGCAGCAGCCCATCTTCTGGTACCTGTAGGAGGTACCTGCAGCAGGGAAGTTGAGATTAAAACTCCTTTGTTGAAGACCAAACTTGTCTTGGATTCAATACCTGAAAACTAGGTAAAGTCACTGTAGGGTATTACTGCTGTAGTGTTCAGCCAAATAAGTCTTTTCTCTTGCAGTTGTTAAATTGCAGAGTCATTAACGCCTGAAACCTGGCTACCCTTAAGCTAGTTTCTGCTCTCAAGTTCCTACTGTTGGGTTTATGGAGATAAGTCTTATTTGAGAGCCCAGAAACTGAACAGAATGAAGACCACGAACAGCGTATCTTGTTTGTCTTTCCTTGGTGAACAAACTCACTTCTTGCCATGGGAGATGCTCTGAATGCTGCTACACTGAGCAAAATTGAATGGAGTTTTCCACCTTTATAAGGTTTGAATAGGGTGGGTTGGGGGGAGGGTCAAGGGGAGGAAGGGCGGAGGAGGAGATTGCCTGGAATCTCCTTTCCATGAGGTAAGGAGTGAGCTGGTTAGTGCATCTTAATTCTGAAGCTTTCTTTCTTTTGTACCTTGCTCTGACTATTGCTTTTCTTGGCTTTTGAGTGCTTTCCCCGTTCCATTGGTCCCTTTGAGCTCAGCTCTTGCAGGTAGGTAGCATTTTAGAAAATGTTAGAGAAGAGTGAAATTTTAGTAAATAAGTAAATAAATTGTTTATTTTACAGGCTAAGGTGGGTGTGGGGGGGTTTCCCCTTTAGTAAAGCATGTTGTCGACTTGTTATTTCTAATATGAGACGGTTCAGAGATGGTAGATAATAAGAGAAGTTAGCCGCTCTATATCTGATAATGTGACAAAAGAATGAATATAACTCCTGGTTTGTGAGGCATAAACTTTGCATTAAGAAAATGCAGATTGTTGGGTTGTTGGTTTGCTGGTTTTTTTTTTTCCTGTTTTTTTCTTTTTCTCCCTGTTGGCATTCTTGCATAAGGATGAGCAAGGCAGCCCACCCCTTCTGTAACAGAGTGGAACTTCTTATAGTCCAGGCAAAAAGCTTGCTTATACAGATTTTTTTTAAAAAAATTCCCAGAGTATTAATTTTGTGAGATAAATGCACATTGGTTTGTGCAGTACACAGGTAGGTTGCTGACACAGAGGGAGAAGGGAGAGATTTTTTTCCAGAACCTTGCTTCCCTCATCCCCTCTTCAAATTCCATTGCTTAGGCAAGCAATTTCTTTGCTTGTGTTAAGTGAAAGCCAGAAACATTTCATTTAGCCAGGCACTGACTGATCTGTCTTTGGCCTCCCTCACAAGCAAGCATAGAGGTTTATTTTTTTTAACTTTTTTTAAAATTTGTGACTGATGCAGAAATGTGTTCGAGGGGTGTAGGAGTAGGGCATCTTGCTGACTGGCTTTAGAAAGGGTCTCTGGGCCACCAAAGCTGCCTTATAGTTTGCTATCGCTTTTACTTCTTTTGGGGGGACTTGTGCACATGTAAACATATATATGCCAAGTCTTGCAGTGCTTTATTGCTACTGAGGTCAGCTGAAGTCCAGGGTCTGGGTTCAGTTCAGAGTGTTAACCAGATTGTTGAATGCTTAAACGCACCGTGGCATGTGCTGCCCCTGTCCCACCTGGTGCTCGCTGCTCTGTTCCATATACCAGCTGGAGGGCCCTCGTTGATAAGCATTAGCCTTTAGTATCGTTTGCGTTGTTTTCAATCTGTAAAAAGTTCTGTGGGAGTGTCATACGACTTGGGTGTCTCCTCCCCTCCCACTTCCTGAAGCAATTTACTGTTTGGACTTCTCTGAACAATGGAAGGGTTAGTGGCTTTGTGTGGGATCAGCATCTCGTTTCACACGTTTGCTGGTCTCTGAACACATTCCTGTTGTATTAACGAAGACTTGAATTGAGAGATTCATAGATCTGTGGTGTTCAGACACAGGATACTAAGAGCTATGTTACTATTCTTAGTTTGTAAATTGTCCTTTTGATACCATCTTGTTTTCTTTTGTAGGTATAAATAAAAACACTGTTGTCAATAAATTGTGAACTTTGTCTTTATTATTTTTGGAGCATAAAACAACATTTGCCCCCATTCTTCCCGTTTGTTAAAAGAAGTTGAATCCAAGGGGTTAAGAACATCTGTTGGCGGCCCTCTGAACTATAATTGAAATGTCCCTCATCTGTAGAATGTGAGGAACCCTCACTGGAGATGGGTGAGTGGGGAGGGTGCTGGAATACTTGTGGAATGGAAGATTCTTGCCACGTGAAGGTAACGCGGACCTTAATAGATCGGGGTTCAGGCACAGTGGGAGGGCGGTAGTTCATGTAGCGGTGGTATAACAGTTGAATTTTGGATGGTCCTGTGTGGAGCCAGGAGTGGGACTCAGTCTTTGTGGGTTCATTCCAACTTGGGCTATTCTGTGGTTGCACATAGGGGCCAGTGACCTTTGTATATGTTATCAGACTTCATGATAACATGCCCTCTTCACTTTGGCATTCGTTGGGGACTAAAGACTGTGACAGTTTCCCTTTTACTTCTTGTGGTGTTTCAGGGTAAGGTAGAGGCATGTTATGGAGGTGAGTGATAGGAAGAACAGGGACGAAAACGATCTGCATTTCTTAGTATTGGCCAGCACTACTCATTAGCACCAATTTCAAGTAAGAAGAAACACAACAAAATGGAGGGAGAGTCTCATCCAGGTGACAAGCATACCAGCTGTCCTGGCCTCGCTGTCTTCTGGCACTGGAGTGAAGCTCAGCTGAGCCATTCTTCAGTCAACAAGGGCCAGGAAAGGAAAGCTGTGGTCAATTAGAGTTTCGTCTTTGGAATTTCTGGTGTTGTCTGGAAATGGCTTCAAACAGGCATTGGAAGGCTTAGCTTCTTTCCTTTTAGGACTGTGAAAAGAGATGGTAATGAAGGCTTGCTGGGAATACAAACTGTTCTGTTGTTTCTACAAGTATTTTGAATCTGATAATTTGGGCCACTAGATAGCAAGCTGCCAGGTTTTCAAACCAATATTCCCTTTTTCTTTTTTCCTTTGATATAATACACTCTTCTTTCCCTGGTACACTTTCATTACTTTTAAGGGAGAATAAATGGCCTTATGGCCAGAGACCGCAAGCATCCCCCTGCTGATGTGGGAAGCTTGGCTGGGAGGCCTCACAGAAACACCAGGGGTTGGGGTAGATGATCCCTGCAGGTGCTTCCAACCTCAGCTGTTCTGTGAAACACAAGTTTTTTGGGGAGCTGAAGGCTTCCTTCATCTTTCAGGTCCCTGCGTTAAACAGAAAGCAGCTCATCTAGTTTTAAAAACAAGAAAAAGAGAACTGGCATTATATAAAGATCCCTTTGCAATGCTTTGTAACCTTATTAAGTAGGTTTCTTTTTATAAAGCATCCTTGCTTTCCTTACCAGAATCGCTGCCCTTTTGTCTGCGCTCTCCTGTGATAGAAATGTTTTGAAAAGATGCTTTTTTTTTGCAAGTGTAAGAGAGATGCAACCTGCTATAACATTTCTGGTTGCCATAAATGACTGCCAAGCATTTGCATATCTCCCGCCACCTTCTCTTTCCCTTGATCCAGAACAGTTGTGTAAAAGAAGGGGGATGAAGGGGGGAGGCAATTCTCTTCCTGCTGTGATGTCCCTGGGACAAATGGTTTTTTATTTCTCCCTCCTGTGTCATCTTGAGTTCTGCAGCTTTATGCCTAGTGATGTGAGACCAAAAGCCAGCAGTTGTGAGGTTTTTTTCTCCCTTCCCCTTTTGTTCCACCTTCCACAACTGCAAAGGGTATAGATTTCTAACAGAATGTAAGGATGCAGGACTCATGAATTGAATGAAGCTAAAATGGGCGATGGGAGGAAAAAAAGGAATTGACGTAGGGCACCTTGATGGTGGTTTTGCAAAGTAATTTTCTAACGTCAGAGATGCTTCAATTACAGAAGAAAATCTTAATCCACAAAGGCCAGCCCTCCGTTCTATGCCATCACCTCTCTACCAACAGGAACAGCGCATGGAGCTCCTTAGAGCCACCCATCAGTGCCCCCAGCACAGGATCTGGTGGAATAGTTGGGGAACAGGAAAGAAGAAAATGTCTGTAGAGCTGTGTTTCATCAAATTTTTCCCTCCTCAGCAAATGAGCAGTTTGAAGCCTACTTTAGCCTCAGCACCGTAGCGTGTTCTACCAGATTGTATGCCCGTTAGCGCTGGTATGCAGCCATCACTGGCATCTGGTTTTGGGAAACTGCAGAGTCTTGTACGTGCAGATGCCTGTCTTCCTACAGAATGAGTCCTTGGGAATGCTGCGTCTCTTACACCAAAAGGAAAAGTAGGCTTAATATTGTCTCTATATGTTTGCAGGTGCGTTGCCTGCCTGTGGCTATTTTTTCTCCCCCCTCTGAGGTTTACTGTGATTCATAATCTCAAAAAGCACATGGAAATGAATATACCAGAAAACATTAACTTCTCAGGGCGGGCTTAAACCAGACTGAGCTCTGGTTTTAATTTCTACACAGATAAGGAGTGAACTCAAGGATTAACACCTGGCAAGCTGCGAGAAGGCCAAATGACCGCATCCAATGTATACCAACACTTTCACCCACCTTTGGTAACATAGAGATAGAAGAAGTCGCAGTAGAAGATGGTCTGTACCACCCCGGAGACCACAGCAATCTGGTCATAGAACTTCTCGGTGTGGTAGCGCCAGATCCAGTTGGCGATATAGAGGGCACGATAGAGGCCCAGGAAGAAAAGGTAATGCGTTGTGATGGTCTCTGCTTCCCCTGTCTTGCTGATCATGAAGAGCTGAGGGAGGATAGCTACAGACTCCAGGTAGATGGAGAAGGTCCAGAGTATCTGTGAGGTGCAAATGAAGGTGGCGGTGATCATAGAATGATCATAAAATCATCGTAGAATTGTGTGAGTTGGAAGGGACCCTTAAGGGTCATCTAGTCCAACTCCAATGACATGGAAAGACCCAAGGCTTTACTCTTGACAGCGTGGGGAATGAGAGAAGACGGTGCTGAGCCGCTCTACAGATTTTGTGCTCTTCATGGATTACCAGCCTTGCCTCTCCTACATGCTTTTGGCATTAAAAACCCGAACTCTTCAACATCCTGCAATCTGGGTAGTGCCAGGTTTCCCTATCCTCTCCTGCCCCATGCTTTCCTTACCTCCAGGGGGGTGAAGCTGTGGTTCTCCAGGAAGGACAGGCCTGTCACAGGGACCAGGAGGAACTCCAGGCGAAAGGAGTCATTCTCACTGTCGAAAGTTTTCCGGAATTTCACGTAGATCATGTACACGGTGATGTAGGCACATATCAAAAAAATGACCTGGGGGAGAGAAGGGGAACTGCAAGATCTGACCTGCTATCGGACTGCCTGTGCTTGAATAGAAGATTGGCTTCAGTCAGCTTTGCCGAAAGCAAGGTCTGTTCACCTGCTGGGCTGTGCTGTGGTGAGATAGCAGTGAACAATTTTTCTACACTGATTTATGATTGGCTGGTGTTGGAGGTGCTCCTGTGGTCAACTAGAGATTGCCACTCAGCCTTACCATGAGGGTAACTGTTGTTTAAGAACTCTTAAGGCTCTCTGTTGGCTTGGTGGCAGCCAACTGTTATGCTCTGGCTGTGCAAGCATGCCCAGTCCTCATTCACAGCATCTCAAGCTGGTCTTGGTGGTGCTAAATGTGGTGGGCTCACTTGTTTAATGTGATGAGCGAGTTCTATGGTCGCTGGAGGGCTGGTGACACCAAAGGGAGCGCCTATAGCTGCTCTTCCTGTGTGTAACCCGCTAGCTTTGGTGACAAGCAAAGAAGGTGAAGTTGCTCCTGTCTCCCTCTGGCTGAAAAACTAATGTGGTGAAACCGTGGCGAGCTGGGGGGAGCGTCTGCTTCCCTGCTGCTCTCCTTACCTTCATCACGGTGTTGTAGAGGGAGATGAATGTTGTGAACAGGTCCAGGTAGCGGGTAGTGAAGACAAGGGCAAAAAGAATCTGGCTTTTCCCCGAGATACCTGCATGGCAAGGAGAAGAGAGAGAGGCAAGGCAGGTGAGAGAAAAAACCCTTCAGATGTGGGTTTTACCCTGTGCTTTTTTTGAGATCACTTGTGTACGTGTGTTTCTTCACAAGCCAGGAACTCACCATCACAAAGACCTTTTCCTAACATGCCTGCCCATCTCATTGTGGTGAATTGCTGTGGGACTGGGGACTGGCCCACGGATGTTGGTGCTGTCACCTCTGGTGGGGTGGCAAACATGGATGAACACAGCTGAACCCATCCTCTCATCTACCTGCAAGCCTCTGGCTCTGTGGGAAGCAACTGCTCTGCATGCCTTGCCCAAACACAGCCTCTAGCCTGAAGCAGCATTCTCTCTGCATCTTTTCACCAGAGGTCATTGCTTTTGGTGCCACCAAACCTTCTTGTGCTCACTTTCTGCCTCATCACCCTCCTCCCCTCTGCTTCGCTGTCACCCAGACACCTTCCCCGTGGCCGTGTGCCGTGCCACATCACATCCTTCCAGCACATCCTTCTCCCTCCTGGCAAGGAAGTTATCCACCAGGCTGTGGAGTCTTCTGCAAACCACAACAAAACCCGGTGATGGGCTTGACAAAAAAAACACCAAGGTGTACCAGAAAGGCATGGGAGAGAAGCTGGAGAAGAAACCGGGAGGCAGCGTAAGGGAGGAAGGAAGAGGAGCCTGATGCCTCTGAAGAGCTGAGGAGTAGGGTCCCCTCCTTGCGCAGAGAGCACTCACCAGCACAGGACTTGGACCTGTGGATCTTCACCAGCAAGATGATGATGGCCAACAAGTGGGAGACGTCCCCCAGGATGCGGAAGATGTTCATGGCGGCGGTGGGCGAGGGCAGTCGTAAAACCCCGCGGGGAGCTCCGTCCTCAGCCGAGCGTGCGCTTTCCTCTGGCTGAACTTTCCCTTCTCCCGGAGCCCGGAGCTCTCTTCTCTATGCCTTCCCAAGGCTCCGCGTCCCCTGCCCCAAAGTCCCTGGACTTTCTCTCTCCCAGAACTGCGTCTCTGTCGCTGCTTTTCCCTTCTGTGCGGGGCCTGTGCAAAGTTAGGTTTTGTCCTCTCAGCAGCCCCGGAGCAGCGCTGGGTGACGTGGCTCCTGGCTGGCTGGGGAGGAGAGAAAGGAGGAGGCGGAGGCGGGAATAACTGCACTATTTTTCCCTTTCCCCTTTTTTTTTTTTTTTTTTTTTTTTACCCCTTCCTCTCTTTTCCCTCACTTGTCTCAAGTTACACGCGGAAGCATCCTTAAAGGAGAAAAGGCGGAGGGAAAGGGGTCATCCATCCTGTGGGCTGGGATGCCGCTGCAGCGTCTTGTGCCATGTTGGCAACCCCGTGGCCCCATCAAGCGGGGATGTGACATACCGGGCTGCCATCACGTCATGTCCCATCCCACCAGGGCAGTGCATTAAGTACAAGGCTGTGCACAAGGAGTGTAAGTGCTGCCATCCTTATAGGTTTAGGAGAAGGGATCTGAGGAGGGATCGCTACAGAGTTTAACCATATTCAGAAACATCAGTGGCCAACCTTGGGACAGCCCTTCTTCTCCAATGGGATCTCAGGGTGCTGAGGGCACTTTTACCCCTAGTTGGTTCTCTCATGCCTCTGTTCCTTGGCTCATCCTTATGGGCTCGCCTGGAGTATCGTCCCTAATGATTAAAGTGTAAAAATATTATTCTCAGTGCTTACTAACAAGTCTATTAGCATCGCCAGATTCCTTTTGGAATGCATTTGCATACATTTCCTCCCAGCCCATCATGCTGGCTGTGTTTTCCTTCCCAGCCGCTGTAGCACCTGCCGTACTGGGCTTTTCCAGTCGTATTTGCAGGTTGGGCTGGAAAGCACTCATGGATCCCCATGGAATAGGGACTGCCACCTACTACCCATGGGCATGCTGAGGCAGGAGTGGGGACAGCCCTCGCTGTAGAATCACAGAATCATTTGAATTGGAAGAGACCTTTAAAGGTCATCCAGTCCAACTCCCCTGCAATGAATAGGGACTCCTACAGCTGGATCAGGATGCTCAGAGCCCTGTCCAGCCATCCTTGGTCCTCTTTCTTTCTTGTCCCAAATGTGGTGGACCCAATCACCACCACTGGAAGGGCACCAGTAAGACAATTGCAGATGGCGGAGGTTTATCCTCTTCCTCTCATGCCTTCCCAAGACCTAAGGAGAGCTGATGTCCAGTGGTGCTACTGGGAACCACCAGGCTCTGAGTGGGACTTCACAGGAAGGCCGCTGGGTTGGCAAAGGGCATATGGATGCTTAGAGAAGGAGAATCTGGCACACCAAGTGGGAGTGAGCAAAAATAGACCTTCCCTCCTCCTTCCCTGTGCCTTGCCCTGGGTGTCTCCCTGCCTCCTGAAATAATGCTGGGCGCTGCCACCACCCCTCACCATGATGCTCTCTCCATGCCTCCCGTTTCCATGGCGACCCTAAGGAATGTCGCCAGGGTGACAGGGAGGAGAGCAAGCTGGGATTTGGCATTAAAAACAGGAATTTGGGGTTGTTGGGTTTCTTTCTTTTTTTTTTTTCCCCCTTCAGTTCTATTTTTGGGTTCCTCTCTCTGCCTTTGCTGGTTCTCCTTGCTCTCCTGCAAGCCTCTATTGAGGACACAACAATCCAGTGACACCAGGTTCACCCTTCTTGCTAAAGCATTCTTCTGTCACTGGACTTCTGTGATTTGCCCTAGTCATTCCCCTTCAACTTCTGCTTTGTGTCACATCCAGGTGGAGAACAAGACCTGTAGGCCATCTGCAGCTGTGCTGTGGATAGTAGCAGTAGGCGTGGAGGGGCTCAAGGGCTTGTGCTGGCTTCAGTCAGTGTGGTGAAAAAGCAGGACCGTGGTTGCCCAACCAGGGTCTGATTGGCATGGTGGTGGCTCTAGGCTTCATTCCCAGACAAGAGAAGGGTCAGGTAGTACCTGCTCACCTTCTGAGGAGCTCCTGCTTCCCCTCCATCCATCCATCCATCCATCCATCCATCCATCCATCCATCCATCCATCCATCCATCCATCCTTCCATTCATCCATCCATCCATCCATCCATCCATCCATCCATCCATCCATCCATCCACTTTTCTATTCCTCCTTCCTTCCATATATCCCTCAATTTATTTTTCCATCTCTATCCATCCTTCCATTCCTCCTTTCTTCCATCTGTCCTTTATTTCATCCTTCCATCCACCTCTCCATTTATCCATCCATCCTTCCATCCCTCCATCCACTCCTTCAGCCGTCCATCCATTCCCCTTCTTTCCACCCATTCTTCCTTCCTTCCTTTGATTCATTTCTCCATCCATCCATCCATCCATCCATCCATCCATCCATCCATCCACCCATCCATCCTTTCTACCCTCCCTCCTTTCTTCCATTCCTCCTTTATTCCATCCACCTCTCCTTCCAATCCTCCATCCATCCCTCCATTCATCCATTCACCTCTCTGCCTCTCAGCCATCCATTTCTTTGATTCATTTCTCCACATCTCCATCCATCTTTCCATTTCTTCTTCCCTCTTTCCTTCCTTTCTTCTGTCTTTCGTTCTTCCATCCATCTCTCCTCCTCTCATCCATCCATCCATCCATGAGCTCTCTCTCCATCCTTCCCTCCCTCCATTCTTCCATCCCTCCATCCCTTCTCCCACCCTCCCATCCCTCCATCTCTCTGTCTCCCCCCATCCCCACAGCAGCACTGGGAAAGGTTGGCGGAGTGGGGCTATTTTTGGGACCGTCTCCCTGGCAACGGCTGCCACCACCGTCTGTGGTGGCTTTTCCATAGGTGCTAAAATATTCCACGCTTCTTATTAAAGACGGTGCCGGTGGAGACGGGCGGGGGTGGCGAGTGTGAGCCACCCCACTGCTGGGGCCATTGAGCCAGGAATGGTCAGGGCATGGCACAAGGACAGCGAGGGGTTGGTGACATCCTTGCTGTGACATCCCGATGTCCATCCCAATGGCCCAACCATGCTGGTTGCACAGTGCAAGGGGTGCAGCCTTATGTCCGTGTGGAGCAAACCACCACCATGGCCACGTGTTCCTCCCCATCCTCAGCAACACAGTGAGGTTTTGGGGATGAGTTGAAGCACCATAGGATGGCTTCACCCCTTGGGCTGCGACCACCATGGACACACCAGGATGTGTCACATCAGCCTTGGGCAGAGCCGGGGCTCTCTATGGGATGGATGGTGACCTCCAGATTAGTGCCCCTGGGTATGGGGGCTCCCTATGGGATGGGCAATGACCCCCAGCCTGGGGACAGGGATAGTAGGGATGGAGGGGCCGGACAGCCCCATCCAGCTGCAGGGAGCAGTGGAGCAGAGCTGTTTGCAGGATGTTGGCTGCTCTCCCTGCTTGCAGCTGCGGACGGATGCTGAGAGGTGCTAAAAATACTCTCTGCTCCTCCCGGTGAGAGTTCTCCAGGAGGTGACCTGGAAGCCCCCGAGATGCCACCGGGGAGCTCCCAGCAGTGACACCCTGAGGGGATCTGGGTCCTTGCCTGGAGCCAGGTCTCAGCCTATAATTTGGGATCCAGGTGGGAAAATCCTACAGGTCACAGCCTGGGTACGTGGCTGCCCCACTATCCCCTTCCCACTGCCACTTCCACTGGATGTGTTCCCTTCTCCCCCATGGCAGCTCAGCAGTGCGTATCCATGGCTCTGAGATCACACGCAAGGATGGGCTAAAGTAGCGGAAAGCTGTTGGATCCTACCACGGAGTTACTGACTTCTTAGCTACAGACTGCATAGCAATCAGAGAGGGGGAGAGGGAGCCAGGGAACGGGAGCAGGGAGAGGCGGTGCAGAGATTTTGGGGTGAGAGCAGGGAGGTGCAGGGAGAGGAAGGAAGGGCAGAGGGGACGAGGCAGGAGGGGGAGAGCAGAACCATCGCTGAGAGCTCGTGGGATGGACGGGAGCGAAGCACGCTGAGCGGAGGAGGAGAGGAGCTGGGCACGGTGAGCTGGGGCTCCTCGGGAATCCAACAACCCCGGAGCTGCAGAGAACCCACTGGGTGAGCCCAGGAGCTCTGGGGCACCATGGAGACACCGACTGCTGACCCCATCCTTTGACTCTGGCTCCCAGGCAGCCCCGGCACGATGAGGTAAGAGATGCCAGGCTGCTCCCGGTGCAGCAACGGGAGGTTTTGCCTGCAAAAATGCTGCCTTGCTAGTGCTAGCGCTGAGGAATGGCTATAAATATAACTTAGTGAGATGTGAGTGGCTTCATGTGAGTGTGTCCGTGAATAGCAAAGTTGCTGTGTGCATGGCAGATGTAAATATCGCTAATGGAGCGTGACAGTGCGGAGGGCACCTCCTCATCAGCCTCCCCAACTTTCCTCCCTTGCCCTGCAGGTAACTCGTGTGGTTTTTCAGCTTCGACCTTTGCTTTGCTCCCTCAACCCAGTTCTTGTTTGCTTTTTCCCTCTCCATCCCCATGGAGCAGCCCTGCACTGTGGCATCCATCTGTGTGCGCTGCTCTGGGATGGGTCTCTCAGCACCAGGAAGGTGCTCTCCAAGCACAGAGTGCACCCAGGGTTGAAGTGTCTCCTTCTAAGCTTAGAGATTTTGGGGGGTCCAGACCCCTTCCAGCTCATAAGGTCCCAGCTCAGTTCTTGCTTGGAGTGGACCAATGTCTCCAACAGACACTGCCAGCAGGGGTTACCCCTTGGTGTTGGATGCATGGCGGAGGTGATGGGTCACCAGGAGCCTGAGAGGGAATGGGGAGGTGTGTAGGGAGCACGGGGATGTACCTGTATCCATTTGCCTTTGGAAGCAATGTCTGAGCACCCCAGCAATGGTCACCTCAGTCTGGGGCTGCTGACAATGATGACATGAAGGATAGCAGGAATAGACTCAATGATCCTTATGGGTTCCTTCCAACTCAGGATATTCTGTGATTCCATGATACGAATGTGGGCTTTTAGAAGGGAAACTGGTGGTGAGGAGGAGGAGGGATGGAAATGGAAGGGATGGATGGGAGAGAGTCGATCTTCTCATGCTGCAGCCTTCCTCTCCTTCCACCATTCCTCCTCCTTGGGGCACATTGCCTGGAGGTGTCCCCCAACCATTGGGCTGCTCCAGCCCATGCTGCCCCTCCATCCCTGGTGTGGCACAACCGTGGGACAGCAGGATGGGGGATGCAATGACGGCCACCGGTGCTTCCATCAGCACCGATATGGAGCAGGGCACTTAATTGCAATCCGCCTTCAGCAAATTCCCACTTTCCTGGGTCACTGCGTTATGGCATTGGGTTCGTTCAACCCGACGGCGACGGGGGATCGATAGATGGACGTGCCCGTCTTCGCAGTCAATCCCTGCTCACAAACACAACAACCTTTCTGCGAATGGCGCGGGTCAGACGCAGCTCTCCTGCAGGCGACTGTGTTGGATATAGGACCAATGTATGGACGTGGTTCTCATGGAGCACTGAGGGCTCTGGGGTGGAGAGGACCCCACTGGGAGTTGTGGGAGAAGTGGGGGCTGGGGAAGGGGGCTCAGCCTCTGCTCTGATTGTGTCATCGCAGGGACCTTCGTGCGTAGCCCTTTTTTATCTGTTTTCTGCCTTTCTCTCCTCTCCCCCCCCCTCCGTCGGTATGTGGGCTGATCACTGCTCAAACTTTTAATTCAGATGGTAATTGGAATAATAATACGGGCAGAATCCTTCTGGCTCTGTTGCTGCAGCTGGCTTCGGGGAGCTATGAATAGCTCTGAGTCACACACTGAGAGGCTTCAACTTCAGATCATTTTGTTTTGTTTTCATATTACCCGTGCCCAGGGCTTCACAGGGGGGAAATATCCCCTCACTTGCTCCACCCTGAAATGCAAACAGGACAGAGGGACATCCATGTCACCCAATGGGGGAGCAGGGGTCAGCACACCCTGATTGCGGGCACACGGGGACTGCTGGCACCCACCCGATCTATTTATAATTATTGAGGGAAAAGGCAGCAGCGTGTCTATATAAATGGCACAGAGCTCCCTCCCCTCACCTGCCCCATGCCATGTGCCTTTTGCTCTCCTGCATAGCTCCAACGCCCTCGCTAATGAGATCTAGGGTTAACGAGGGGCACCGAGCCCACATGTTAGCCCACATGCAGGGGCTCAGGGAGGGATGGGGGATGCTGCAGGTGTGCAGCTCTGCCTGAGCCTGGGAGTCCCCATACCCAAGGCATCCCCATAAAAAGGGATCTCCGAACTAAGAGCTTCTCATACCAAGGGAGTCCCATATCAAAGGGGTCCCCATACACAAGGGCACCCCAGACCCAAAAACATCCACATACCTAAGATGTCCCCATACCCAAGCGGTCCCCATGCCCAAGGGGTCTCGTGCTCACGGGGTCCCTGTCCCAAGTGGTCCCATGCCAAGAGATCCGCATACCCAAGTGGTCTCCACACCAAGGGATCTCCATACCAAGGGGTCCCTATGCCCAAGGCTAGGGAATGAAGGCCCCTCAGAGCCGCAGTGACCACAGACAGGAGGCAAGCATTCGCCAGACAGCTCTGGATAAAGCCAAGTGTAAAAATACCATGGGATTTTTCCATCGCCGTCGTTGTTGTTTGCGGTGTACATCCCCGGAGCGCCAGATAGGGTTGTTATAAAAAGAGAAGTGGGGGAGTGCTTCGGCATGGAGTTGTCTGTTCTACTTCACAAGGCCGCTGTGCTGCGGATTTGAAGCAGATCCTTACATCCAGACTAAATCTCTCCTCTTTTAATTGCAAACCATTTCCTCTTGTCCTGTCCCAACAGACCCTGCTAAAGAGCCTGTCCCCTTCCTTCTTATCGCCCCCCTTTAGATACTGAAAGGCTCATGGCGCAGGCAGGGCTGTGCTGGGAAGCAGCAGGTGGGTTTATTTCCATCCACCTCTCGGCTGGTGCCGTTCCCTCCGAGGCCGTGGCCGGCGGCATGACGAGCGCTGCGCTCTGCCAGCTGGCAGCAGGGGATGGAGCGGGCGGCAGCAGCGCAGCGCGGCCCCGTCTGCGGCCAACCCGCCCGGGCCGATGCCCTGCCCAGAGTGCTGCCGCGGTGCTGCCGGAGGAGTGGAGGCAGCGAGTGGAGCCTACAGGTCCCCGCCAGCCGGCCACACACCCGTCACCCAGGTAGGTGCCCCGCGGATGCTCCGAGAGCCGTCTGTAGGGGACAGCTGTGGTGTCCCCTTGCTGACACCATCGCCAGGGCGCACTTTGCAAGGCGTAGCTATCGGCAGGTGCCAGCCAGAATTAGCCAGGTGCCTGTCCTTATCAATGTCCCGTCCGTGCTCTCCCCCTGCCCTCCGTCCTTTTCCCGCATCAGCCTCTGTCCCCCCGACTGCGGCATTTCTCAACCTGCTCCTGCTCCGCCAGCCCTGTCCCCTTCTCCCTCCTGCTGCCAGCATTGGCAGGAACGCCGGCAGCTTGGTCTCGCTGCCAGGGATGTCTTCATCCCCGCTTATCCCTGCACTGCTGCCCAGGGCTGATGGTTCCTGCACAAGGTGAGAGGTTTGCTTTGTGCGCTCCTCTCATCCCGCTGGGATCATCCCCAGGGTGGGCTCTGGAGTTCATGTGCTGCAGGGCTCCTTGCTCCCTGGTCGTGACCTCACAACCAGCATGGTGATGTCACGGAGCAAGGACACGGAGATGCCGGGCTCTCCTTTCGCTACCATCTCTGTTCCATCCCACACAAAACCCCACTGATCTAAACGGAGAGCCCTTAGTGACATCCTGCTCCCCGCATGTGTCACTGAGGCTGCAGAAGGCTTTGTCATTGTCACCCAACCCAGGCTGAGGACACGTTGCATCCTCCTGTTTGCCATCCTGAAATCATGCCGCGGCCACTCAGCATCTCTGAGAGCATGGAGAGGGCCTGCACTGAGCAGCAGAGCCTGGAAGAGGATGATGATGATGACAATGACAACGAAGAGTTCGGTTACACCTGTCCTTTGGCACATCCTCCACCCCCATGCATGAGTTTGGGTGACACTCAGCTGGGAGATGCTGAGTTCTCATTTAAGCCAGGGCACTCTTGCATGGTGAAAGATGATGGAGAGAAAAACAGAATATACGCCAAAAGGTTAGCCAGGCACGCGTTGGAGCTCAAAGAGAATGCTCAGGAGTTTGAGGAACCATTTTACAAAGACACGGAGATGTCCAACAGCCCGTTTGAGGAGGAGGACAGCAGCTGGACCAGGACCTACCACCTCCCTGTTCACCAAAGGAAACACACGTCTCGAGCTGCCAACACATCACCATGCGGTTCCTATGACTCCCACCAGCATGACCCGTTTTCCCTATGGGCCCAACCCAGCGACCCATACCTCTCCAGCCTGGAGCACACCAGGGGAGCAGAACCCCACAGGTGGCACGAGGAATCCATCGGGGACCGGGAGAACCCCTCGCTGCGTGTGTCCTACAGGGAGCTGTGGGAGGAGAACAACAAGCTGCGCAGGGTGGTGCGGAGCATGCAGGGCTCTCTGGAGAGCCAGACTCAAAGCATGAGGAGCCTGGAGCGTCGGCTGAAGGCCAGTTTGGCTAAGGAGGAGAGGAGGGCCCAAGGGCTGCAGGCCCTCAACCAGCAGACGGAGCGCAGCCTCCAGCTCATGACCCAGAGGGCTCTGGATGCAGAAAACCACGTGGAGAAGCTGAAGCAGGAGATGCTGCTTCTCCAGGGAGAACTGGAGTCCTCCAAGGTGGAGAATGAAAACCTGAGAGTGGGGCAGAGCATGGACCCGGAGGCGGTGAAGCACAACGTAGATTTTGCCTTGAAGAACCTCCAGAAGATAATAGCGGGTGCAAACTGGTCCATCAAGCAGCTGGTTGCTGGGACAGAGTCACTGAATTTTGTCACTGAGATTCTTAAATCCACGGGCAAAATTTCTGATGCTGAAGCGGAGAAAAAAGAATGAATCAAACACTGTGGATGTGTTCAACCACAGCCTATACAAAAACTTTTGCTCTCACGTGTGTGTTCAGCTCGATAACCTTTATTCCTCACAGGGGTGCTTTCCCTGTGGCTTATCTCGTGGCTGGGAAAAGGGGAGGGTTGGTCAAAACTTTTAGGAAATGTTTATTAGTGAGATATTGCAGTGACTTTCCTCTGGTGCCAGTGTCAGTGCTAAGAATGAACTTATAGAACCATGGAATTGTTAAGGTTGGAAAAGACTCCTAAGATCACCTGATCCAACCATCAGCCATCCCCACCATGCCCACTGCCCACGTCCCTCAGTGCCACATCCACACGGTTCTGGAACACCTCCATGGACGGTGACTGCACCACCTCCCTGAGCAGCCTGTGCCACTGCAGCACCGCTCTTTCAGGGATGAGTTTTCCTCCCATCCAACCTGAACCTGAACCTGGTGCAACCTGAGGCCATTTCCCCTCATCCCATTGCTGTTACCTGGGAGTAGAGGCCAATTCTCACCTCTCTACAACCTCCTTTCAGGTCGTTAGAGGATGATAAGGTATCCCTTTCACTTGGTTCAACCAGTGGAAAACACTGGTTGGAGAAGATTCCCTTCCTCTCCCGATGCAGAGAAGCACACCCAAATTGTCCATTTGTCTCCTGTTGAGTAAGGCAGGATGCCATAGCCCACATTTACTATGTAATCACTGAGGATATGTTTTAGTTTTATCCTTTTGGGACTATATGTGGGCGTCATTCTTCAACACCAGGTCATCCCCCAACATTTCTGATGAATTTAGGTTAGCCTCCTCATTTTCAGGTGTAGTTTATCCAGTTGCTCAGCAGATCTTTCTCTATCTGGCCAAACAGACCATGATTAAAGACTTTGGTGATGAAGGGTGATGAGAGGCTGGGTGCTGGCAGAGCTCAGCATCAACGTTTTTTCCCAATGGGAATTTTTGGCAGCTGTTCACTCCTACCTACATATGGTGAGTGGTGAAGTCTGCTGCCTTCTCATGGTTCTCAAGTGTCCCAGCAGTCGTGGCTGGGTCTTCAGCTGCCTCAGTAACCTTGTTGCCTGGAGGAGGGACAGCTGGTTAATCCCTATTGCAGACATGACGATGGCTTGCCCATCAGAGGTGATGTCTGGAGCTCCATACTTGCAGCCTCCCAACATGGGCTACTAAGCCAGAAGGGGTGCTGGTCACCCTTAGCCACTTGAAGCCCCACTCTACAACAATGGTCACGAGACAAGAGTGTTTCTCACCAATTTTCCTATCCTCAACAATAACACCAATTGTTCCTGGCTCCCACCTTTGCATGACCGCTTGCAATGAGTTCTAAACCTTGTATTTGACCCAGAAATCCCTGGATTTCTCTGAGATATGGCAACCACCCGCTTCTCATTGGTGAGGCTGGGAGGTAGTGAACTAGCTGTGTCTGTGCTGCGTGCTCTACGCTGTCTGCTGTAATCCAAAGGTTACAGTGTAGGATTAGCATGGGTGTACAAAGCCCTTCCTAATCTATGAGTCATTACCCCTCACCGCATTTCCCTTCCCAGCAGCTCTGGGCAGGTGAGATAGGTCAGCCCTTGAGTCTTCGGTCTCCTAGTTCTTCAGCTCAGGGAGGACCAGTCAGGATACAACACCTCCCAGACATCCTCCCCAGGGTCATACCACAGAACCACTCCTCGGATGCTATGCACGGCACATCGCAAGGTCTGTTTGCTCAACCGGCTTCTCCTTGGCTGCCCCTAAGCTCCTCCTTTGCATTGGCTCTCCATTTTGGCTCTATCTCTTGCTTTTCTTCCCATCTTTGAAATAGGGGGGATATTTTTCACTTCTTGGCAATAAATTTCCTCTAGGTCAGGTTGGGCTGACAGGGATCTCTAGGGCTGCTGTGTGTGTCTGCGCTTTGTTAGTCCTTGTGTGTGAAGTATTTAGGCTGGCTGAGCTCTTGTCCTCCTGTAAGCTATGATATTAATATGTTGGCTCAGGGCAGGGACCCTGCAAGCTGCTAAACTCTGGTGTCCTTGGTCCAGAGAGAGGTGACCGTCTGCCAGCACCTCTGCATGAGTGAGATATGTGGGCTGCTGTGTGAACTAGGTGTGTGTCTGTCAGCTCTTCACCTCTGGAGCAGGGCTGTGGTGTGGTGCCTACCATCACCACCTGATCCCTCTGGGCATACAGCAGAAGGGATATGTGCATGCAGGCTGGGTGTTTTCAGGGTGGGCTTTGATGGGGTTTTGCTCTGTCCTTCTCTGTAAGGCACATGCCCAGGAGCAATGGTGAGGATGGCATGGGTCTCAGCTTGTCAGAGGTGAAAGCTAGAGCTGCCAGGTCCCACACGAGCACGGCTGCATGAGATCCCACGCTCGCCCAGCTCCTGTGGCCCCCAACACCTGATGATACAGCAAGCCATGGGCAGCGTCCGCGTCAACCGGTGAGTAGCCCTCATCCCAAGGACTGTTCATAGAATCATTAAGGTTGGAAAAGACCTGGAAGATCACCTGGTCCAACCTCAGCCCATCCTCACCGTGCCCACTGACCACGTCCCTCAGTGCCACATCCACACGGTTCTGGAACACCTCCAGGGATGGTGACTCCATCACCTCCCTGGGCAGCCCGTGCCACTGCAGCACCGCTCCTTCTGAGAAGAAATTGTCCCTTATATCCAACCTGAACCTTCTCAGAGGCCTTCTTGAGGCCATTCCTTCTCATCCCATTGTTGTTACCTGGGAGCAGAGGCCAATTCCCCACCCACTACAACCTTCTTTCAGTAAGGTCTCCCTTGAACCTCCTTTTCTTCAGACTGAACAACCCCAGTTCCTTCATCTGCTCCCCATCAGACTTGTGCTCCAGACCTCTCACAGCTCTGCTGCCCTTCTCTGGACATGTTGCATGTGCTGCCTTATGTGTTCTGGGCATCTTCTGGTCTCTTCACCCATCCCTCAATATGTTATTTTCAAAATACTTTCCTGGGGCTAATCCACTCTAAGTTATGGCTCCTCCATCTCCAAGTCTGAAATGCGCTGTATGTGGGGGGAGATCTTGGCTCTCAGCAGGGTTGGCTGGTGCAGAGGAGAAGCAAAGTACCAATGCAGTGCTGGACACCAGCCCTGGCCCAGGAATTGCTGATTTCAGCAGGACTGCAGAAGCCTGGTGTCCTCTTTCCAATGAGATGAGGACAGCAAATGGATTTGGAGCTATGTTGCTACCCTGAAGAAACCACCCTATTTAAACAAGGAACAGTCAGCTTCAGGGTCCATGCTGGAGGACTCCAACAGCCATGTCAATGTGATGGGGAGGGAGGGAGGGAGGCACTGCCAGCCTCAGGAGTCATAGTGGCTTAGTGGTGATGAGGGTATTGGTGGGTCTATGCACTCAGAGGGAGGCTACTGGATATCTTCAGTGGTCAGAGCATCTTCTTCCATAACCTCTTTAAATGAGAATCTGTGATTTTAGATCCAGCAGCGTATGAGCACTTGGAAGCTGCCTTCTCCTGGCAGTGGTGAGAGGGGCAACAGTGCCATCCACTGTGGAGGGAATCAGTGGGAAACAGCTCCCAGTAGAGGGGAGTTTCTCCCAGAAAAAAACTGCCAATGATTTGACTGTTGATCTCCAAATTACACCTTTAGCTTTGGATGCAGGATGCTGGGAGCGATGCTTGTTGCTGTGGCAACAGAATTGTCCTGAGCACACGAAGTGTATAAACATTGTCACCAATATACAATGGCATCAGGGCGGGGAGCAGAGGAGAAAATAGAAACTCCCAGTCTTACACCATACCAGGGCCAAAATATCATTCTTCACATATTTCTGTCCGTTCCTTCTCTTCCAGGTACAGCATTGTCTCGACGGAGGAGGATGGACACAAGGTCTCTGCGCTGGGCAGCATGAATGGGCACAGCCGGAACGGGAAGGGCCACACACCCCGGCGGAAGCACCGCAACCGCTTTGTGAAGAAGAACGGCCAGTGCAATGTCTACTTTGCCAACCTGAGCAACAAGTCTCAGCGCTACATGGCCGACATCTTCACCACCTGTGTGGACACGCGCTGGCGGTACATGCTGATGATCTTCTCCGCCGCCTTCCTGGTCTCTTGGCTCTTCTTTGGTTTCCTCTTCTGGTGCATTGCTTTCTTCCACGGTGACCTCAACGCACCGGTGGTGGGGGGCAGTCCCTCTCTCCTCAAGCCTTGCATCATGCACGTGAACAGCTTTCTAGGGGCTTTCCTCTTCTCAGTGGAGACGCAGACAACCATTGGGTATGGCTTCCGCTGTGTGACTGAGGAGTGTCCACTGGCCATCATGGCTGTTGTGGTCCAGTCCATTGTGGGCTGTGTTATTGACTCCTTCATGATTGGCACCATCATGGCCAAGATGGCGAGGCCCAAGAAGCGGGCCCAGACCCTCCTCTTCAGTCACCACGCGGTCATCTCGGTGCGGGATGGCAAACTGTGCCTCATGTGGCGAGTGGGGAACCTGAGGAGGAGCCACATCGTGGAGGCCCACGTTCGTGCCCAGCTCATCAAACCCTACATGACAGAGGAAGGGGAGTACCTCCCCCTGGACCAGCGGGACCTCAATGTAGGCTATGATGTTGGTCTCGATCGTATATTTTTGGTCTCGCCCATTATTATTGTTCATGAGATTGATGAGGAGAGCCCGCTCTATGGGATTGGTAAGGAGGAGCTGGAGACAGAGAACTTTGAGATCGTTGTTATTCTGGAAGGGATGGTGGAAGCCACGGCCATGACCACACAGGCACGGAGCTCTTACCTCGCCAGTGAAATCCTCTGGGGTCACCGCTTTGAACCAGTAGTGTTTGAGGAGAAGAACCACTACAAAGTGGATTATTCCCGCTTTCACAAGACCTATGAGGTAGCTGGCACACCCTGCTGCTCAGCTCGGGAGCTGCAAGAAAGCAAGATGACTATCCTACCTTCTCCCCCACCTCCCAGTGCCTTCTGCTATGAGAATGAGCTGGCTCTTGTCAGTCAAGATGAAGATGAAGATGATGACGAAGTGGGTGTAGCGTTAGGTGGCAGCACCAAGGAAGAGGGAGGCGTCATCCAGATGATGGATTTTGGAAGCCACCTGGACCTGGAGCGGCTCCAGGCCACTTTGCCCTTGGATACCATCTCATACCGCAGGGAGTCAGCCATCTAATCCCTCCAGCCTCCCCGCTCTACGCCCATTACCCACCCCCTCCTCCTCCTCTGTTCTGCACCCATACGTAGCTGGACAAGTCCCTTGCCCACCAAAAAATGCCTCCTGTGACCACCTCTCAGCACCTGAGTACATCGAGGCCTGGAGTTACTCTGATATATTCCCTTTCCCATGAAGTTGTACCCCTGGATGAGGAGCGAGAATACACCATTCTTCCAGACAGCGCAGCTTGCTCGAGGACCTGCCCAGGGACAAGAAAGAAGCATTGTTGGATTCCCACTTCTGGGGAGGTGACAGGAGCCTGTGCCCTCAATGGAGAGACTGTACCTGCTCAAGTGTTTCTGCAGCTGAGACAACAGCACTTTCTGTCTCTCTCAACATGTGCAGACCCACGGCTATCAATAGCCATGGCTCTCACAAAGAGAGGAGTGACGCATAAGTCCTGACCCAATGAGAAGGGACAGGGGAGTTTAAGACTCCTAGAGGGACTGGGAGAGTCTCTGGAGATAGGGGTTTGCTTGCATGTTTATTGCTTGTTGCACTTGACTTTCTTTGTATATAAAAAGATCGAGACCTGAAATCCATATTCTTCCACTGTAAATGCCAAGCTGGGAGAGAAGGACGCTGCACGTAGCCCGCTCTGCACTCTCCTTGTGGCACCCATCACCTCCAGCAGCAGCTCAGCCCCACAGACTCAGCCCTGGTTCCTCCACTCCTCCCCAGACCACGTTCTGCTTCTTTCTTGGAGCGCCTGGCAGCAGGCAGGGCCCTGTGCTCACACACCTGGCCAGGGCTGGAAGGCAGTGACCTGATGGGACAGCAGGCCCCTCATTTGCTCCTTCCACCTCCTCCAGTCTTCTCCCTGCTGCCATCAGCTGTAAAACGGAATTTGTATCTATTTATTTTTAATAAAGTCTAATATCCCAGGGGGAGGTTTGGAAACAAAGGAGACCCCGAGGCTGCAGCCTGGTACAGAGACTGATGAGTGTTATTAGTGCTGGTGTTTGCTGTTTGTATGGGTTTGATGCCTGGAGGCTTCACCTTTGGTACTTCAGAGCCAGAGCTAGACTTAACACCACTTCTCTGTTGTTTCACAGAAGACAGCAAAACTCTGTGAGTCTTTATTAAGAGCGTTAGAATCACTCACTCAAAACTAGATAACATGAGGATGGGAAAATAATTGGGTAGCTCAAAAGGCTGCTCTGCACACCTGGCAGATGTGCTGTTGGGGAAATGGTTGAAGAAATAATGTTCCATCTAATCCCTGATCTACAGAGCAGAAAGCTAACATCTTGGTAACAGGTTGGGCTTAGTACAAGGAGCAATAAGAAGAGGGGAAGAAGCAAAAGAGGAGGGAAAGAGACAGAAGGAGTGAGGGAGGAGCAGGAACCACAGGCAGGGAAAAAGTGAAGGGGAAGGCGAAGGGAAAGGGACAAAGAAAGAAAGGGAAGGGAAGGGAAAAGGAGAAAAATGAATAATTTGGTAATGTGGGAGAGTATTTGGGAGGTAACAGGGATAGTATAACAAGATTGGTAAGGACACAGACATGGCTACCTCAAGAGGAACACCTTCTGGTCACCTTTTGGCTTTTCTCACCTATGACTTGATATGCAGCCATGTTTTTCTACATGTGTCTGTGTCCCACCTCCTCTCCCCGCTGCTGATTAAAAACGTCCCTCCTCCTCCCTCCCGCTATTATTTATTTATTTTCCCCCAGAGGGAATAAACAGAGGCCAGTATTGACCTAGCTTTCAATATAGCTTTCAGAGCTGGGTGCCTGTCGCTGGTCATAGCAGTGGAAACAAACTAATGGACCGAGAGGGAAGGACTCTGCATGTGAGGACACAGGCACCCAGAACACAGACTGAGCTAGTGGCCCCAAAGAAGGGAGCGTGGCTGGGCACCCCTCACCAAGGTGCAGCACCCTTTAGAGGTGAGTGGGGATGATGTACCATGACTATTAGTTCCTAAGAGTCTGGTCTGCGAGGAAATGCACTCCATGAGGTCATCTAGGGGAGATTTCTCCCACTTTGCCAATGCACAAAGGTATGTGTACCCTTCAGTACATGTGCTTCTGCACCTGCATGCTCCAATCACAAAGTACTCGTGCCTGAATATCCACTGAACATACGTATGTCATATATGCAGGCATAAGCCATCCTACACCTCTCAATAAACCATAAACACTCAATGATGTGCACACAAACTTTGTGCACCAGCAGCACTCATCTCAACAATTGGATGTTGGGGACTCCTTTATGTGGCCCATGAAAAATCACCAATAGAGAAGGTTGGATATTGGGAACAATTTCTTCTCAGAAGGAGTGGTGCTGCAGTGGCACAGGCTGCCCAGGGAGGTGGTGCAGTCACCATCCGTGGAGGTGTTCCAGAACCGTGTGGATGTGGCACTGAGGACATGGTCAGTGGGCATGGTGGGGGTGGGCTGGCGGTTGGACCAGGTGATCTTCCAGGTCTTCTCCAACCTTAATAATTCTATGAATCCTCTGTGGAAAGCTGCCATGAGGAAGACTGGACATTTCTAGGTGAGTCTGCAAATCAGCTCTGCAAGCCAGAAATACAGATGGGATTTTGGCCAGGGTGCAGCTACGTATGATATGTGGAGCATCACCTTCCCTTTAAGTGATGCGTCTGGTCCAGAGAAGATACCTCCACGTGTTCCCTCCCTTCTGCAGGACCTGATGGACAGAATGACTCTCCAGCACTTGTTGAGATTTGGCTTCTGTTGAAAAGTATTCCAATATCAGAAATCTAACAGAGAGAGAATGGACTTTTTGCCCTATGAATAGGATCCAGGCATTGGCTCAGATTCGGCACCCCATGACAGCTAACTATACCGCTTTCACTCCTGCCAGCTTCCAACTGAACACTGTCGTTGTTTTTGATGACACTTGAGAGACTTGTTTCATGTTTTATTTTTGGTGACACTTTCAGCCAACCCTTTTGAAAAGAGACCATCATTGGCACCTTTCAGCTCACCCAAAATTTGCTCAGCAAAACATTTTGATACACGCTGCAGCTAAAAATATGTTCAAGGAACATGATAATAAGGGAGAAAATGGGTTTGGATTTCTGTGATCGGGAATTCATGTTGATAACATTTGTGCTTCCAAACAAAAGTGCTTTTTTTGCAACCAGCTCGGCTTTGGTGTTGACCCAGAATGAAGAAGAGTCGGCTGCACACAGCCGTGTGACCTCTGCTCAACAAAATGCCTCTTCTACTTCTTCCCAGGCCATTAAGGGCTTGCTCCTGCCCCTGTTAAGTCAATGGGAATTTTGCCATTGCCTGGGGTGAATTGCAGAGCTGGGCCCTAATGGAGCGCCGCTATTGGAAAAGCCCTGCAGCCCCAGCCTTCTGCTGAAGCTGGGACAGATGATGTGGGCTGTGCAAGAAGGGGAGAGGTGGAAAAAGGCAGCGTGTGGGGCTGGGGGAGCTGAGCACATTGCTTGGGGGGCACTGGGGAGGCTGGGGGAGAAGCAGTGGGGTGGGCAGGAGACATGTGGGTGTCTCTCAGTGAGAGGCTGCCTGGGCTGGGGGCTAAAAACCAGAGGCGCTGAGGTGGGAACGAGCTGCTGGAGGAGCTGTGTCCAGCCCTCGGGACGCGGCTGGGGGCTGCATCAATCCCGGCCCACCGGTGCGCTGGGGGATCCAGGGCCGGGAATCCACGGCATACATATCTCGGGGAGCCCGGTCCTTGCCTGTCCTCAGAGCACCACCTAGGGATGGCAGCGAGCCTCGCAGCACTGACTCCGAGCTCCCCGAGCAGCTGCAGGCTCAGCAGGGCTGGGGGTAGGGTGCAGGGATGGGGCGCAGGGGTGGCTGCAAGTCCCAGCTGGAGGTCAGGATGAAAATATTTCCCTTCCTGTCCTGCAGACAATGCCAGCTCTGGAGGAATAGGCATCGATGTGCCCATGTTTTTCCAGCCCGGATCTTCAGTCCATAATAAAGTTCAGGATGTCTGATGGAGGGGTGAGGGATTTTTATGCCATGCCATCAACTATCAGCTCTGTAAAACCTCAGCAGCTTTCACAGAGTGGCTACTGGCTTTGAAAGCAGTTCAGATATGCAGTGACACTTTGATTTCTTCCCTGTGGAAAGCTGTGGCAATGTGGGAAGTTGCACAGGGAATACTTGAGTTCAGAGACAGACCATCTGGTTATTGCCCTGCTGCCTGCCTGTCCCTTCAGTTGTCACCTCTGCAACATGGCTGGTGCAGATGCTCAACGTATGACATTTTTCCCCACTTTTCCACTATATAGTCCCTTAGCGTGGCACACACAATCTATGCTATAGTAGAGCTGTGCTGCTGTAGCACCTGCCTTTTTCCTGCCCCAGGCAGTCGTGAAATTGCATGGAAGTAGAGAAATGCCCCAATGGGACGTGTCCTGGCCAGTATGAAGCACAGCTTCCAGGCAGAGGGTTTGCAATGCCCTGAGAGTTCTTTTGGCAACCTACCTTTCCATATCCCCTTGAGATATAAGGTAATGACAGCCTGCCTTGCAAACCGCACGGAATCTGTGCTCCTGTGTTTATCTCATTTTCTGGGAAAAAGCGATGAGAGCAGAGCAGTCAATGGGCCATTCACTCTTACCCTGCCTTTGAACACATCCCTTTCAGGAGGAAGCATCCACAGGGAGCAATCCCTTTGCTCTCTGAGCAGCTGTGGCTCTAGGTACACAGTCCTGGAGCTGCCCAGAAGTAGGCAGTGTGGGAAGAGGAAATACGTATTGCTAAGTGGAATGATGTGATTTCATTGCCCTGGTGCCTTCGAAGAAATGTGGGATGGACACAAACACCGTCCTGAAATAGTCTGTGAGACATTGGATATTTGAGCTTTCAAAGTGTTTTTGGCCTCTGAAATTAGCAGGATTATTTTGGTGCTGGCCCCTGATTTGAAATAGCGTGTCTTGAGACTTGGGAGCTGGTAATATTTGGGAATCCCAATGGCAGCACATGGATCGAGTTGTTTGGATGTCCCAGGACTGCAGTCACTGAAGTTGTCAGTTGGAGGATACGGTGCAATTGCCAAAGCAGTTGCAACTGAGAGGGCAAGGAGCTTGAAATTGCCACTGGCAAGTGACAAGCTGCTCATCCAGCAGCAGGCTCTCCGTGTCTCTGTGGTTTTAACCTGCCACCTCTGTAAAGCTGGGGAGACTGGGAGCCATAAATCAGAAATAGTTCCTAGAAGAGTCTGCAGCTGCAGTGAAGACATGGTCAGGACGTCATACCTCCCTGGGAACGTGTATAGCTTCCATTTCGTTCATACTGCCACTTGGAGCAGCTCTGGAGGATCAGGCACAGTGCCTGTTCCCAGCAGAGACACTCTAGTCTCCAGATCTCCACCAAAACACCCCACCTGGAGCTTCACAGACAGAAACCAGCATGTTCAGAGCACACCCAGGTGCATCAGCCCACAAGAGCACAATGCAAGTTGAACCCTATGCTGGTGCCGGGGCTGTATGTATTTGGGGTGCTCCTCCTGCTCATCATGCTTGAATCACACTGGGCTGAAAGCAAGCAATAAAGTGCTTATCCTCAGCCCAGCTGGCCGTATGGGACATGTGGTGAGATGGCCTTTTGTTAGTCGGTGCCCCGTGCCTGGCGCTCAGCTAGCAAGGACAGGCTGTCCCTTCCAGAGAAACCCCTTGCATAAGAATCACAGAGGAGCCGGGCTGAGATGCTGAACTAATCCAGCAGGGCATGCCGGGAAGCTGCATTTTAAGCCATCCTCCCTGCCCTCCCATCTCCCGGCGCGTTGTTTATCTCTCCCATCCCTCCCACAGCAGTACATGAATTACTCTGACTGGGCAAGCTGGTTTCATAACCGCCCGCACCGCCCCCCCAGAGCGCATGGGACTCACTCACACACCGGCGGCTCCTCACTCGCCACCAGTTTGCGCTGCTGTGAATCACAGGCTGGCGTCAATGCCGCACTCCCCCCAGCACGGGGGGGATCTTCATCGTGTGCAGCAGGCTTATGCTTCCAACGCCCTCCACGATGCTCTATGGGGTCACCGGGATGCTGCCCCGTGTGCTTTCTGCTCAATACAGCCACACATGCACTCACCTGGGCAACTTTTCCCCATGTTTGACTCCTCAGGGACAGAAATATTTTCCTAATATCCATACTGGATCTCTCTTCTTTCATCTTATAGAATCACAGAGTCATTAAGGTTGGAAAAGACCTCTAAGATCACCTAGTCCAACTATCATCCCTTTCCCACCATGCCCACTGACCACGTCCCTCGGTGCCACATCCACACGGTTCTGGAACACCTCCAGGGATGGTGACTGCACCACCTCCCTGGGCAGCCTGTGCCACTGCAGCACTGCTCCTTCTGAGAAGAAACTGTTCCTAAATATCTAACCTGAACCTCCCCTGGCCCTGTGTTGTCTGATAGGACATGCCCTTGAGCAGATCACTTGGTTCCCCCTCCACATCAGCCTGGTGGGAAAGCACTCTATCACCTCCTCCCTATGTGAAACATCAGGTCTTCCAGACACCCCTTAACCACTGCCTCCTGACAGCCAGCCAGTTTTCACACAGCTTTCTGTCCATCTAAAAGAGCAAATCAGCCTTCCTTGGACAAAGGAACATGATGGAAGATGGCACTGAAAGCCTGGTTGAGTTCAAGGTAAATGACTTCCACTGCTCTCCCCTCACCCACAGAGCTGGTCATTTTATCACAGAAGATCACGTTGGCCAGGCGTGATTTACCTTCACTAAAACCACACTGACAGTTTTCACCCTCTTCTTTGTGTGCCTAGAGATGTATTCCAAGAGCATTTGGTTTGGACCAAATGAGTCTGACCAGCCTGCAGGATCAGCTTCTTGGATTTTTTTGAAGAAGGATGCACCATCTGCCTTCCTCCTATCTCTGCGGACCTCCTCTGACCTCCATTGCTGTACTCAGCCTCTCCTCCAACCAGCTTACCAAACACAAATCATTTCACAGCCCGACTGCCTCCTGTCCGATTTCACTTGGTCTGACCTGAAAATCTTCCAGCAGGGGTGAACATGACTCCTCAGGTCTTTGTCCCTTCATTCCTAAGAGAGAGAGAGGGCTATGCCTCAGAGCTCCAGCATCAGGGCTAATTCCCTTCTCCATGAGCTGCACGTCTTCCCACCAGAGGCTGTGCCCAAAGCCACCCCAGTGCTGTGCAGAAAGAGAGGCAGCAGCCTGCCTCCGGGACAATGGGATAGGACTGCCCAAGCTGATGGCTCTGCCACAGGGTCAGAACCCCAGAGACAAGGATCCACTCAGCCCCTTTTCTCCAAAAAACACAAGGGTTGGAGGATGGGGCTACACGTCTTCAGACAAGATGCTGCAGATTGAGCTCAGAGTCGTGTCTCTACCCTGTACCCTCTGCCCTCACACAGCCCTAAGGGTACACTCGAATATTCCTGTTTGTTTGTTTTTTTCCACTTGGTCGTGGCTTTTTTTTGTTTTTTTTTAAACAAAGCAGGCCTGCGTGGGTGGCTGACAGAAGTTGGGAATGCCACAAGGATAAAAAAAGGTGAGGTATATGGAAAAAAACAATAAAGGCCCTTAATTATAGGTGTGGCCGGGAGCTGCTCCTATTATTAAGGTTGCCGACACTTCCCCTTTTAAGACCCTGTTTTCACTAGCTTATAACTTTGTCAAAGTTTCACCAACAGAGCAGAAATTTTTGGTAGTGAGTGATTGCCTCCTCTTGAATCAGGCATGTTTATTTAGTTTGTTCTGGAAATACCGGCCCACCCCTACGTCTGCTGGGCTAGAGGAAGCACACCTGCAGTCTGGCCCAGGGGAGGAAAGCTCTGGGTCTTCTGGGCTTCAAGCAAGGGCTTGGCCTTGGGCAGGAGGACAGTTTTTGTGTCACGGAGGCTTTGTTTTGCCAGCTTGGTGAGACACTGCTTCTCTCCCCCATTGGCGTGGACAAATTATACAGCTTTGCTATGGGCCGGAGGAGGGTTTGTCACAGCTTCTCAGCCTCTGTGAACCTGCTCAACCCTCAAGGTAGCATGACAGTGTGCGGGCTTTCCCCTGGAGGAGCAGGGCTTCCCCAGTGGGGCTTTCTGAGGTACTAACTGCTGCTCTGGGTCAGCACCAGGCTGTGATCTCTGCTGGTCTTCTCTGGTTGGGTCCAGAGATGTTGTGGATGCCCCATCCCTTGAGGTGTTCAAGGCCAGGTTGATCTTTGAGGTCCCATCCAACCCAAGCCATTCTATGATTATCTCCTTTGGCCCTGCACTCCTCATTGCCCCTCTTTTGGCTTCTGGGAAGTTTGTAGGAAGAAAGGCCTGATTTGAATAGGGAGGGGACGAAACCCAAAGGGAAAAGGAACAGGGAAGGGATAGAAAAACTAGGGAAAAGCAAATGAGGCAAGGAGTCGGAGAGGATGGGACTGGCTGGGCAAGGGGGGGATCGCCTGGGAGCTGTGGGGTGACTTGAGTCAGCTGAGCAGAATGAGAAGAGCCAGACTACTTGTGGGTGTTCTGGTGGCAGATAGGGTTAATGGAAAGAGAGGAGGCTGAAATAAGGAAGGCTCTCAGGGTTCACCAGGAGTAGGGAGGACAGAGGTGTCAACTGGTGTGGCTGGGACCACAGGTTTCTCCAGCACTCAAGCAACAGCTGGTCCTGTGATGTGAGCCCAAATGGCATCCAGCATTCTGTCTCACCTCTCACCAGCCCTTGCTGGAAACAGCAGACCACCATTCTCCCTCTTATATCAAAATACAGCTCTCCCATCACTGAGGAATGGCAGCACCAAGGCTGTCTGCACAGCTGTCCTTCAACGTCCTCACACGTATGAGTTATGACAGAGCCTTTAATTACACGGCCACAAATCTATTTTCCATAGGACACCTGCAGCACACAGGTTAGATGGTTCTCTGGGTGAGTCTGGGCTGTGTCATGCAGGAATCTCCTTGCAAGGACTCAGCATCATTTATTTTTTATTTTTTGCAAAAGTGTCAAGGAAAAGGAGTGACTCATTGCTGGAACAGTTGTGTGCTGGCCTGGATCATTGCCCCTGCTGTGGATTTCCTACCTGAAGCTGAGAGAGTCACCCACAGCAACCTTTCCAGAGGTAGCTATTAGCTATGTTTTATTTATTTTGGCATTTTGCTTTGTTTCTAGACTCACACTATCCTGGGATCCTGATGTCTCATTTGCAGTAGTATTTATTGCTCCCTGGTGCATGTGAATGGGGACTTAGACTTGACTGTGCAAAAGGCTTTGAAAAGCAGAGCGCTCTGGCAAAGCTCACCACTCAGATCAGCATCCCCACTTTGCAGGCTGCTTCTGACCTTACCTCCAGGACACTGGGTCTTCCATAAAATGCTGCACACTTTCTGTGTGAGTATTCCAAGAAGGCAAATCCATGAGAAATCTAAAAGTGTGCCCTGTGAAAAGACCTCAGGAACATTAAGCATTGCTTTTAAAGTAAGGGATGAATATTCTGAAGTTAATAAACTGTGAATTAATGCTTTGAATGACAAGGAGAGAACAGAGTATCAGACAGCTGACCCTTAAATGATCACCAGCCAACCTGGGCAGGAATCCCGGAACAACAAATGCATGTGGTCTTATACAGTCTGGACCATAATCCATACCCTTCCTCTTTTAGCCCATTTTGGGCCTGAGGATTTTGCAGCGCTAGCGCTGCCCTTGCATAGCATTTTGAGCATGATAAAGTAAATCTTGTGGTTCTCATGACACACTGCTAACCCTGTGCCTCCGTTACATCAGAGGCAGGAGGGCAGCTGAGGTGCAGCCCAGGGTAAGTTGGGTGAGATGAGCAAAGGCCCTGGCCTGGTAGGAAGTCACTGCAGGGATCCTGGGGCTGCTGGAGGTCTGCTCTGGTGGATGAATCAAGCTGCAGGTTCTTAGCATGGGCAAGTCTATGTGAAGATGTGACTGCGGTCTTTGAAGCAGCACGTCCTTCCCTGGATAGCAGATGAAACAGGAATCTGCTCACTGTGGGCCAGGCAGAGCTGCCAAACGCGATCTGGCAGCACACTGAGGTCTGCCAGGTCACTGGAGCTCAGCTTTCCCTGGGGAGGGCTTCAGTTTACCCATGCGTTTCGCTAAGTGCTCCAGCTCCCTGGTCATGGAAAATCATACACCTTTCCAACCACTCCAAGCACCCAGCAGAGCAGGACAGGGCTTCCATGAGACTCAGCCCATGGCTATAGTGCCAGTATCAGGGGCTACCCAATGATCTTCCCGTAAGAACAGATCCCAAAGGGTCTGCGAGAACTACGCTGTGCAACCCATCCTCTGCACGCCCAGCAGCAGTGCTCTCTCCATAGAATCATAGAATCGTTTGAGTTGGAAGGGACCTTTAAAGGCCAGCTGGTCCATCTCCCCTGCTATGTACAGGAATACCTCTAGCTCGATCAGGGTGCTCAGAGCCCCTCCAGCCTGACCTTGTGTGTCTCCAGGGGCAGGGTCACCTCCCTCTCCCTGCTGGCCACACTACTTTGGATGCAGCCCAGGGTACGGTTGGCTTTCTGGGCTGCGAGGGCACACTGCTGGCTCATGCCCAGCTGCCATCCATCCACCAATACCCCCCAGTCCCTGGCCCAGGCTCCCCAGTAGGCATCACTCCATAAGAAGAGGTGTAACCAGGCAATGCTTGGAGAGAAGGAGGTGGGTGTTATTAGATCACCCGCTTAGCTGGGCTAACAGCACTAAAAACTTGATTACAATTCAATTAAGGCAACGTTTCTAATTAAAGACTTATTATTTTAAGCCCTAAATGATTAAAATAAAGGCGGCTGAAGTGTCCGTGCACACACTTCACGACTTCACCCCCGAGGGCTGCGTTTCCCCTGGGGACAGCCAGAAGAGGAATGGACGACGTGTTCTAGGTTATCCTGATGGCACCTTCCACGCAAAAAGCCATCATGGGTGCTCAGTATGGGCCGCGCTGCCTGCGTTCAGGGTTGCTGCTGCCCTCGCACCCCGAGATGTGACCCCATCCCAACAGAGCCCACCATTCTTGGTGGCGTGGGGCTCCCCAGTGAAGCACACTGCGGGGCTGCACACATCGCCACACAAAACTCGATTATATCTGAATTTCCAGAGCCAGAGCACACAATTGCGTGAGAAAACGGGGCGGCCGTGGGGCTCTCGCTCCCCACAGCCGAGCACCGACAGGCGAGAGCCCGAAGGGAGCCCGCCCGCCCGAGGGGAAACGTCAGCGGGGCCAGGCCCGGGCCGAGGGAACGGCGGATGGAGGAGCGGTTGTGCCTTTAACGGCGGGAGGGCGGGAGGAGGAGGAGGAGAAGGAGGAGGAGGAGGAGGGCCGGGGCTGCGCTGGGTGACATCAGTGGGTTTGGCTCCGGGGCTCAATGGAAACTGGGTGAGCGCCGGGCTGTGCCGAGCACACGCCGGCTGGAGGGGACGGCGAGCGGGCGGGAGGCGGCAGGCAGCGCCGCGCCGCGCTGAGCCGAGCGAAGGAGGGACGCGCCGGGCACGGCCGCCGCCAGCCCTCCCCAATCCTCCGTCATCCTCCCCGCCGCGGCCGCCTGGCCTCCTGACAGCCGGCGGAGCAGCAGCCCCACACGGCCCCCTTCCCGCCAGGGTGGGTATGGGGGGCGCCCGCCTCCATCTTGGGGCGCAAACCCCGGGGGAAAGGCGGCCCCTCCGGCTCTTTGTGTGCGCGGAGGGAGGGAGGAAGGAAGGGAAGGAAGGAGGGGCGGGGGAAGGGAGGGCAGGGCGCGATGCGCCGGGCCGGGGGGCAGCGGGGACAAAAGGCCCTTTGTGGGGTGCGGGGAGGGGGTCGCCCCCCTGCCCCCCCTTCTTTCTCCTGCTGTCCCTCGGGGCTCTCGGGGCCCGGCCGTTGTAGGGACGCGAGGGTATAGCGGGGGGGAGAGGGGGAGGCTCGGGCTCTCGGGGCGACCGCGGTGGGCTCGGGGTTGGGGGGAGCCGGGAAGTTGGCTGCCGTTCGGGGGGGTGGTCGCTTTGTGTGATCTACCCGGAAAATACAGCCCGGGTAGGGCCGTGTTGTGCCTGTAGGGGGTGGGGGTGTCAGGAGAGATTTATTTATTTTATTCCTTCCTTCTTCTTCCCCCCCCCCCACCTTGTTTTTCCTGTTTGTGGCTATTTCTAACGAAAAGGTGGTCTTCAGCGCTTTGCCTCTTATTATTTTTTTTCTCTCTCTTTTTTTTTTTTCCCTTCCCATCTGCCAGACCTCCTCTTTGTAAATGTGAAAGGGGCTTAGGGAGGGGGCTGCTCGCTGTCTCGCGTTTCCATCAAAATGCCATATTTTTTTTACCTCTTTTTCCCGATTTTATTTTATTATTTTTTTTAATTTTCCCCTTTTAATTTTGATTATTAAAAAAAACCTCTTTCAGATGACTGTGTTTTGCCAACCCCTTCCTTTATCTCCTACACATATATACACACACAGACAAGGAAATAAAAGCCCTGCACAGCCCTTACGGGCACGGCACCCCCCACGCTCCCACTTCCCCTCGCAGCCTCCATTATGTGGCCTCCAAACTCGGTGCTGCATGGCTTTCGTGCCCCCCCGCTGTCCCCACTGCCCAGGTGTGGGGCCGAGGTGACGCTCTGCCCTGCGAAATGGCTGGCGTCGGACACAGAGCCCCAAGACCGGCTCTATCCTGCCTTTATATAATGGCCTTTGTGTGTATGTACGTGGGTATTTTATCTTATATAAAAGGGCCCTGGTGCAAAATGGTGTGTGTGTGTGTGTGTGCGGGGAGCGACACGTAGTATTTGTAGTATGTTGTAGGTGTGAGGTGGATATTAACGTGAGCGCACGCTTTGCTTTGAGGTGGTGTGTTAATACTGTGTGGAAAACGCTATGGGTTAAGGGACCCACGGCCCTGGGTGCACTGCTTTGGCTTGAGGGGTCAGGTCTGCTGGGGTGGTGGGGGTTGGGGAAGGAACATCACACGGCCTTTTAATTGTAAGCATCTATAAATAATACATGGAGTGATGTAATTTTTTAAATATCACAATATAAATTGTATATGCGAGATCTTCATTCTGTAATAGTAGACCCGAAGACGAGATAAGGGCAGGAACTGTAGATGGGGGTATGCGTGTGGAGTGGGAGGCAGCCAGCAAATGTGGCGGATGTTGGGACTCCTGGAGCAGTTGCTGCTGGGGGTGGTGTGCCCCCATACCACAGATCCCCGTGGCCACCCTCTGGCCATCATCTCCCCGCTCTGTTCCCTAAGCACACTTGTGTTGTGCTGGGGGGGGAGATAAGGAGGAGTGACAGCTGTGCGGCCGTGATTTTTCACTCCATTATCCCGCTCCCTGCTCCCACCCCCTCACCCCGGAGCATTTTTTAGATTCCCCTTTGGAGCCTGTTGCTCAATCAGCCAGAAGGGCCGCAGCCTGGCTGTGCGGGGTACCCTCCTTAACCTGGCTCCTGGCTGTCCCAGAAGGGTGGGACCGTGGTATGGTGGGACCCTGCTGGGATCTGTGGCTGGCAGGGGAGCTGTCGTGATGTTTGGGTTCCTGGGAACGTGGACCTTTGATCCTTGGCTGGCGTAGGAGGGCGAGCAAGTCGGATGTATGTTAACATGGTGATGCAGAACAGCAGGCAGCAGTTGGAAACCATGTCTGCTCGCTGTGCCCAGGCCTCCCAGTGTGGCTCCCAAGGCACTGCCTGCATTCCTCGTAGTAAGAAAGTCAGAAATAGCCATGGGGTTTTGTGCTCCTCAGACGCACAGAAACACACATGCATGAGTAAATAGAGTTGAGGGAACTCCACCTCAGTGTGCTTTGTGCCTGGTTTCAGGGTTTGCAGTGTCCCTTGAATGCCTTGATGGGATTATTTTCCCTGACATCCCTGTAGCTCATCCCTTCCTCTTCCTGTAATCCCACCTCCTGGGGCAGCTTGGGGTTTATGGTGTGCCCAGAATCCTGTAGCTAGGATTATTTTGTGCGTGCATCTCAGAACCATTTCTTCTTCCCACCTTTGTCTTTTCCTTCGGTGTTGCCTCCTTCCCATCTAGCTGCAGCAAAGGAAAGTTCCTCTCACCTACTTGGGAAAACATGAATCATTCCTCACCTTTCCTGTCCCCAGTAGACTCTGTGTCTGTGTTCTGTAAGCTAATGCTGTGGCATTGCATAAATCAGGAGTGTGGCAAATGCCTCTAAGAGGAGCCGTGCTCGTTGGCTTGGTTCCTAGAACAAGTTGGTGTCCGTGGAAGCGGGGAGGGAAAAGGGACCTGTCGGAATGGGGCTGTGTGCTTCAGAAGGGTTGTTTGGGGTGGGATGGGGTTGAGAGCCTCCTACCTTCTGGATTTTCTCTGTAGGATGAGTAGGCTGAGCCTGTCTACGTTAACCGGGTGTAGCAGGTCAAAGGGTGAACTGATCACCTGGGGCGAAAGGCCGGGGGAAGGCTGCAAACAAGCAGCCAGCACACCTGGGTGGGTAGCACAGGCGTGGAGGCTGCTGATCGCATCAGCAGAGGTGCGTGGCGATAAGCAAATGGCCGTCCTCCTCCCAACCTGCCTCTCGCAAAGCTCACTCCTGTGTGGTGTCTCCTGCTGCCCCAGCCTCCACCTAGGGGTGGTGGAGTCACTAGCTCCTGGCAGTCTGTAAGTCTGTCTCACAGCCCTTGGTTCCTGCACTTTGTTGCAGCTATGGTGCTGGTGTAGTGCTGGGCCAGAGAGAATTCTTTCTCAAAAGCCATGTGCCTGTCCCTCCTGTTGTCCCACGGGTCTAGGAGTGTCTTGATGCCTCTTATTTTAGGTTACTGTGAAGGAGGTGCTCCTTAAAGTGTGAAGCAGTCACCTGCTGGCACATTGTTAGGAGAGATTTCCTTCCCCAGCTCTGTGGAGAAGATGGTGGGAAAGAGGTTCAACCTTTCTGCATTTCCATGATGGGAACACAGATGATGTTCTTGAGTTGGTCGTGTTCCTGCAGTGTTTCTAACTCATGCTGTTTATGGTCACCTGAATTTCTGTACAGCAGCTGCATAGAAAGTGAAATATTTCGAGATTTAGGAGCTATGTCCAGCTTCCGAAGCAAGTGCTGGGTGTAACTGATGGAAGATTTGCAGTCTTCCATGGGGCACGATTCAGTTCCAGTTTCTGCTCTGACTTTGTGGGTTTTTTTGTGTTTCTTTTCTCAGCACCACTAAACCATGGAGCTTCGAGTGGGGAACAAATACCGGCTGGGCAGAAAGATTGGCAGTGGTTCATTTGGAGACATTTACCTAGGTGAGTGTCAGTCTGTGTCCTTCCACCTGCGTGGTTGTTTTTCTCAGTTACGTCATTATTTTTGGTTTGATAAATATATATTTGCCTGTTGATATTTTTAGCACCATGTAAGATTGGAGATGGTGGAGGTGGGGGGGGAAAAAAAAAGCTTCAAGAAATACTGCCAGTTGTTGGCCATCCTCTGATGGCACAGAGGGTGAGATGAGCTCCACTTTGCCTCCCAGATAGTGGAGACATGGTGACGTTTGGTCAAATTGATCTAGCTCTGGACTATTGAGAGTGTATTTGTTATGCACCTTGCTCCAACTCTCTTGTTGACTTTTACTGAGCTTGGGTGTGTGTGGGTATAAACCCATATGTCAGAGTGGGTGGTGGAATGGGAGAAGATGGACTTTCCTCCAGGGCAAAAGGAATGGAGCGATGGAAGGCTGATAGTGGGAGAGATGGTCCAGCACCTGAAAGAGAGAGGCCTGACAGAGGGAGGTGTAAAACAGGTCGGGGAGGAGGCTGGCCTGGCTAAAGTTCTGGGGCCCAGATCTAGTAGAACATGGGTGGGGTAGAATTTAGGGTTATCATCTGGGGTAGCCTCAGCTGGGAGGTGCTGATGGGATTGGTGGACAAAGCCTGCGGAACTCTTGAGTTTTGTATTATTGCAGCACTTGAGAAGAAGCACCTCCAAGCCAGCTCACTGAGGTGTATATGCATTTATTCCCTGATGCTTTGCCCACTGATGTTGCTGGCGCAAACTCTGTGGGGCTGGAGGGGCAGGACTATCCAGTAGCCTGACAGAACCATCCATGAAGTTTCTTCACCTGTTGTCCACTTTGCACTGTTACCTTTGAAGCTGTAGTCCTCCAGGCCAGCGGAATGGGCCTGCAGACCCTTTCTTGGTGTGTGCACCCTTTTGGTACTTACAGATGGTTATCATATGCTCCTTGACTGTTTATTTGCTCAGATGAGTCGTATTTTGCTTCCCGCTACATCCACTGCTCTTCACTGTTGCTGTTCTTCCAATTTTTCCCAGTTTATCCATCTGCTGAGCAGCTTGGAGCCTACACAGCATTTTAGGTGCGGCATTTCCAGTGCTGGGCAGAGAAGGGCTACCCTTGAACGGTCTGTAACACGATGCCTCTGCATAGGCTGCTTTGGGTCTCCTTGGCTTCCCCCATCACCAACACTGTATCACGTTGCAGAATTGGCCTGAACGTGCTGTCAGCTGTATTGTGCGAGGTCTCTTCCAGGTTCTGCAACATCTCTTTGACCCTCCCCTAGCTGCCTTCGTTGAATACCTCTAGTTCAGATTACTTTGCCTCATTTTGTAAATCACCTGTTTTCTACCTCTGGCTTTTATCTCCACCTCTCCCTTGCTTTATTATTCTCTCTTGATTGGTGTTGGCAGCTCCCCTTGAATAAGTACCCTTTGGGAATCACTGGTAACAGGCTTTGTTGCCACCTTCATCCAGAGCGCGAACAAAGGTGATAAATAATGGATCGGGGATCCCAATTCCATTCTGTGATGCCATCACTGCAGCCCTTCCTGCTTGTCACTCCTCTGTTGCCCATTAGTGTCTCAGGTGACAGTGCATGCAACACCCAGGTGCTAGGGATCAAAGGGTGACAATTTCTTAGCCTGGATACAACATTTCCACCTATGCTTGAGCTCGGAGCCTTCCAGACCCTTCCAAAACACTGGAAGGTGCTGTGATCTTGCAGAACATCTGGGATACATGTGGAGAAAGCAGGGAGGCACTGAATGGGAAGGCCTGATTCTGCATTTCTGCATCATGTAGCAATTTGCACACCTGTACAAAGTGGGCATGGAAAAGCAGTGGCTCAAGTGAAGAGATTGTCCCCTCCTTGCCCATAACTAAGCCACACAAGCATCCAGGGAAGCTCCAGTGCCCAGTGTGAGGAGCCTCAGTGGCTTGGTTTACTCGAATGTAGTATCAAAGCCCTTGTGATTTGCACTGAGGTGCAGGCCAGCCTGTTTTGAAGCAGTGATAGTGAGACTTGTTGGAGCCAGGGTGACACCCCAGCCTGGAGGGATCAGGCTCGCAGTCTGTGCTGCTGATTGGGCTCATGCTATCCTCTCAAGGCCTGGGTTGCAGACAGAGACTTATTCACTAGAATTTCTCTCCTGCACCAGATCCACCTCTAGGTTTCCTTCATGATGGAGTGGAGATGGAGCAGAGACGAATGAGTTTTGTCTGTATCTGAAGGCTGGTTTGGGCTGGATGCTTTATTCCCAGCTTTTACAGAATATTGGTGCTTCTGTGATATGTGGGTACTGTGTGCTCTACTCCTTGAGGTTTGTTTTTGGGTTTCCTGCCAGAAGGAAATGCGAATTTCCACACGGTCACACACAAAGGGAGGGCTCCTGTTAATCATAATCTGGGGCTCAGATCATGCAGATAATGGCAGTCTCTTGCTTTTGTGCTCTACCTTGAGGGTTATATGTGCCGAGCAGAGTTCCCCTGCACTGGGTGGATTGGCACTGGGATTGAGATGGCAGCAGGCCTGAGCCTGCTCACCTCTGAAAAGGAGAGTGAAACCCCAGGAGAGCAAAACCTAGAGGAGCCACAGGGACATTGGGGTTGTTGGGAGGCTGCTGCTTTGTTAGGGTGTTGGTGAAGGGGCCCTGGCACAGTGCTGCCCGTGATATAGATGACTAGGGTGCACCAGAGGAGCCCTTGGGATGAGTAGGGGGGAGGGTGACGAAGGGGGGATCTGTTCTGCAGACAAAGCATGCCGGGACAGGGCTTTGGACAGTTCCTGGTTGCAAGCTCCTCCTCAATGGGAGGGGAGCGATTTCCTTTGTTTCCTGGACTGTTAACTCTCTCTCGCCCTCTGACTTCCCCCATCTGCTCACAGCCCTCCTTTTTTCTGTCGCTAAGCTGGTGGTGGGGAGAACCCGTTGTCCTGCTCAATGCGGAAGGTTTGCAGTATCAGACACGCAGCGAGGCTTCTGCTCTTAAAATCCTGTTTAGCAGGTGACATCCTCTGTCCCCAGGGCCCCGTTTCAAACAGCTCGTGATGAATGAGTAGTGTTTGTGCAGCCCCCACAGCGGAGCGAGACTGGGGGTGGATGTTAGGAATTATCCCTGATCCTACATGCGTCTCTCAACTGGTTGAAGCTAGGCAAGCTCTGCTGTGTTTGTCTGGGGTTTTTCAGTCTGGAGAAGGAGCAGGGAGCTGTTACTTTTGTTGTTTGTATCTTTTGAAAGATGGTGGTTTAAAGCAATGAACAAAGCATGAGAGAGACCCCTGGCTTTGGATTCTTGCTGTCTGCTAGTTCTCTAAACAAAAAAAAATGGCCAAGGGAGCAACCTAAAGATACTTGAGGTGGGGGGGCTGATCTGCAAGTGTGAGGTACGTGCACCCTCAGCAAAGAACCACCCTGTTTTAGGTGTGATTCATCCTCATTTTACCATCCTAGGCCACAGTTTCTGCTTCCTGTAAGAGACTGACACAAGCATTTGGGCTATGGAGTCTGTGGGTCTCGAGGCCACGCTGAATGGCATACTCATATTTTGCAGAAATGAAGCTTTCGTGGTGTTTAACAACCCCTCCCACGTACCCACCTGCACACCTTCCATTTCCCTGCTTTACGTGCTTATAGATAACACCCCCCCACCTGCAAGCAGCCTTGTAAATGGATGCGTTGTCATCTTCCTAAATATGCAGGGCAGTAGGGAGATGAGAACACATTCGTCTTGCCACTGTTCAGCTTTGGGGGGTAAGGTTCATTGAAAATGCTAATGCTGCCAGAAGTCAACAAGAGTCATTGTTGCTCGTGTGTCAGCAGATGGACAAGGAGAAGGAAAAATCCCCCAGGGGAGGGATGAGGGAGCTGCTGCTGAGGATTTGGAGGAAAATCTTTACAAAGGCAAGGGAAAGAGAAAGGAAATGCTCTTGTCTATCTGGATATGCTGGGTGTTTCCACACTGAATGAGGTCTCGTGATTGAACACGAATTTAAAAGGTAGATAATCAGCCTGTGGCCACATTAGTACTGTGGTCTGAGTGCCTTCTGCTGTTCTTTCTTCAACCCCTTCCACTCTTGATCTTTGTCAGAAGGGTTCTGTGTGACGTGAGGAGAATGCACAGACTTGCTTTGCAGACCAGTAGGCTTTTCAGTGGGAAATATCAGCCTTTTTCAAAAAATCACACTTAGATACTTAGCTCTAGCAATTGGGATGCCTTTTTCCCCCTTCTGTTTGCCTGACTCTGGAGTAAAAGCCCTTATTAAATTCATCCCATTGCTCCTCCTCCTTCCCCTCCCTCAGAGCACCCTAAATAATTCCTCTCCCTCCTTAGTGTTTACAGCCTTCAAATATTTGCAGACTGTTGTCATGTCCCATTCTTCCTCCCCACCCTTCTTAGTTGTATCTCTTGTCTACATTACATATTTAGCTCTTTTAATCTTCCTTAGTAAATCAATCCCTCCAGGCCCTGATGGTTTTTGTTCCTCTCTTTCAAATTCCTTGCAGCTTGCCTATCTTGACCTGATGCTGTAATATCTAGATGACGTCTTGTTGCTAGCAGTGAGCTCTTGGCTAACTCTGTGTACAAGCAGTGCCTGAATCCTTTAGCAGGAGATGGATCACCTTAGTATCCAGTGGGAGAAGAAATCTAGATGCATGAACTTTTCCTTTTTTGATAGAACAGCTGCCTTGGTGGACTTTTTGTTAAGACCTTGACCATTAACACAGGGACAGGGGAGCATGAATTCACCAGGCCTACCAAAATGTGCCATAGGTTTTCTACAAAACATTGTTTTCCACTTGTGGTGTTCCCCATGCATATTCTGGAGCAGTGCTGAGTAGTTGCTCTGAATCAGAGCTGCTCTCTGATTTGTTTGAGTGCAACTTGTAACAACAGTTCCTGATACATGGAAGAACTTCTCTGTATTCCAGGCAGGCACGGGAAAGGGGGAGAGAGAAGCAAGTTTTAAGTGTCATTCCCGTGACCTGTGTACAGATCTTTGTTCTTTCCATTTTAGGATGATGTGAAACATCTGGAATCCTCTCTGCTAATAGGAGAGAAGGATCAGCCTGTTCCTCCTTTGGCAGTGCCCTTTGGGACCAGAGTGCTGGCTTTCGTGGCTGGCAGCTTGCTGCTTTTTGAGGAGAAGTGTGCAGGGAGGTGCTTCTGTATCATTGCAAACTCGCTAGCAGTACCTTCAACAAAAGGCATCTGAGTAGCTTAATTCACTACTGGATTCAGTTTACTTCTTCATGCTTCTAATTTTGGATGTAGCTAATGTTTCTGTATTGGCAAAAGATTAAATACATTATTAAAATCCTCAGGAGAGAGAGAAGCTGGAGATTTGTGAACTGTCTGTATTGAGAGCCCAGAGGTAGCTGGGAATGTCAACAATGTCTCCTCCTGAACTAATTGGCCCTGTTGAAGTGTGTGACTTCTAGAACCTGAGGTAACCAGAAATTTTACCAAGGAAGATGTATTCCATATCACTCCCTGGATGGCTGGCTTGTGTTCTGGAGGCAAAGAATAAGGTCAGCTAAAACTTCTACTCAGGATAGTTTATGCTGATACAGGTTGTCCTCACAAAGCCTGGCGCTTGTTGTCCTAGCCTGTCTGTAGGATCAGAGCTGGCTTACTGGTCATGTGCCTTCCTCTGTGCCTGTATTTGCAAATGGCACTGCTGGAAACTTGGTATGAAGTGGCTGAATAATCTCATTTGTTTTGCAGAGAATAAACCTTCAGATTTACCCCGAAATTTTGGCATCTGCATGGGCCTTGTTAAAAGTATAGCTTCAGTGGAAGCCTGCACAATCTTCCTTTAACTCTCATTTCTATGCAGGAGCCAACATTGCAACTGGTGAAGAGGTGGCTATCAAACTGGAATGTGTCAAAACCAAGCATCCCCAGCTCCACATTGAAAGCAAATTCTACAAGATGATGCAAGGAGGAGGTGAGATAGGGAGGGAAATGATGGGGCCGGGGGAGTGGTTGAAATAGGGAGTTATTCTGGAGGGCCTTAGAAAGAAAATGATTTTGGTATTACATAGAACCTTGTCAGCAGGGGATGCAGCAGTTTTCCTCTGTTCTGTGGCTTAATCTTTTTTTTCTTTTCCCCAGTGGGTATCCCCTCCATTAAGTGGTGTGGAGCAGAGGGGGACTATAATGTGATGGTGATGGAGCTCTTGGGGCCGAGCCTGGAAGATCTCTTCAACTTCTGTTCCCGCAAATTTAGTCTCAAGACAGTTCTGCTCCTGGCAGACCAGATGGTGAGTTTCCTCTGAAGCATTTGTGCCTACTCTCCTTTTCCATACCACCCCCCCTTCCCCTCTGCTCAAGAAATGCTACATCCCAGGCTTTTTCATTTAGCAGCAAGTGGCTGCCAGGTTTTACTTTCTTGATGAAGGCCTGGATCCTAGGTGCTGCTGGGTGTTTCTGATCTCTGTCCTTCCTTCCTCTTTTGCTCACCTTCACATCTGTGCATGTATTACATGCACAGATGCTTTTACCTACATGGTAAATGACTGACACTGCTATCCATTTTGAGTAAACAGCACATGCCCTGGTCTTAGGACCCTTCTGGACCCTCTCCTTTCCCAGCCTGGCTAGGTTTGGAAATTGACTGGTGTCAGTCCTGAAGCTCAAGGTTCTAATCCATAGAAAGTCAATTCCCATACCTCCTTGTGGTGCTAATGGTGACCTTTCCAAACTGAGGACTGACGGTGTGTGGGGTTTAGATTTCCAGATACTGCTGCCTTCAGAGGGTGGGGAGGGTCATCTTTTTCTTTGACTGCCATCTCTGGTATTCTCTGCAAGGGGTACCTTTTCCTTCTTTGATAGGGTAAGATATCTTTTTAATACATGCAGCTATAATGAGCTTTCATTTCATTTCTAACACTTTGTTTAATTTGAATTTTTTTCTGTTGTTCCCCTTCAGATTAGCCGTATTGAGTACATTCATTCCAAGAACTTCATCCATCGGGATGTGAAGCCAGACAACTTCCTTATGGGGCTTGGTAAAAAAGGCAACCTAGTATACATCATTGATTTTGGTTTGGCCAAGAAGTACCGAGATGCCCGGACCCACCAGCACATACCTTACCGGGAAAACAAGAATCTGACTGGCACAGCTCGTTATGCTTCTATCAACACCCACCTGGGGATCGGTGAGCCTGATGTTGCCTCTTGGTGGGGCTTTCCATGGGACATGGCATCTATCTTGCAGGGGGTTGGCATGCCTTCTGAAGGTTGCAATACCACATCTGGGGTTTGAGTTGTCATAAAGCCAGCGTGGCCCAGTAAGCAGGTGCTAGCTGGCTACTGGATTCTGTGCCTGGTTCTTCTACTGGCATGTATGGAGATCATAGGCAAATAACTTAATTGTTCTGTCTTTGTCTCTGTGGCCTCTCCTCTGTCTTCTGTGGCCATCTGAACTCCTAAAAGCAGAAATGGTCTACTGGACTGTGTTATGGACTGCTTAGTGCAGCAGAACCCTACTTCAGCAGTGAGGCTGTGACCTCCTCGACTTTACTGCCACCAACTCTGCCTTGTACAATTTTTGCAGGCTTGTAGATATGCAAAAGGCATTCAGAGACATTAAGTCTGTAGGGATACACACAGCTGAAACCTCTTGCTGACTGTCTGTATCAGTGCTGATTTTTGTGGCTGTCGGAGCTGGAGTATTACAGGCCACCACTGAGGATGGGGACAGCAATGTGCTGGAAATGCACAAGGAGCTGGAATAAGGGGAGGCTTCCTACTGCCAAACATGCAGGTTTTGTAACAGTGAGAAATTTCTTTCATAGGCCTCTAAAATCTGTGGGTTTTTGAACTCCACTGTCTCATTCACCTCAGAGTAAACATGAGGCAGCTGTAGGGAAGCAGGGCTCTGTGCTTGGTGCCTAAGGCTAGTTTAGTGCTGAGAATTCAGCCAGGTCTTACACTGGTTTTGGACATTGTTACAGTCTTTGCAGGTACCCCACACAGGTTAACAGCCAGGGCACTTAAACCTCCTGAAGTCACCCAAGGTTGTCCTTACAGTGAGCCTCAGTGCACAACACCTGGGTGATCTGGGGAGCAGAGATGAAATCTGCCTGCAGTTTTCTCTTCCCTGACTGGATACCTACTTCTTTGTGTGACTTCTTTGTCCCCAGTGTTAGAGTTTCATTGTTACCACAGGGTTCCTTCTAAACAGGCTGACTTTGTTCTGCTACTTTGACAAACCCGATTGGCAGAAACATTGAAAGCAGCTTGCCTGTCGAACACAGCTCGCTCATAGCTCTGCTGGCTTTTGGGAGACCTTCTGAGATGTATAAGCTGGGAATTTGAAAATCACAGCAGAGAATTCAAACATCTTAAACTAACAGTCTCTGCAAGATTTCGTATCTTAGTATTCTTGGGAAAGCTTTCAGTTCTCCCCTCTTGACTCTGGATTCTTGAGAAAACATCTACAAGACTTCACCTGCAGAAAATAGAGCAATTTCCCACTGTCTGCCTTCCTTACTACTGTGTAGCTGTATACCAAAAATGTTTTATTTATATCAAAATGAGGAGTGTTGTGTGTTGAGAGTGGGCTATGATCTCCTGACCTCTTTCACATAGCAAAAATAGTTCTTGAGGTGCTCTCTAAGTTGGTCTTGTATTTTGGCTTGACCTGCTTATATATAACTGACTCTCCATTGAATTCTTGGTCAGGATTTCCACAGCCATGGTAACTGTCACAAGGAGACATGCACAAAATAATTCTTACTGCTATGTCTGTCAGTTTTTTTTTTATTTTTATTTTTCATGTGTGCCTTCCCTGTCTGAACCAAGCACGAGATGCTAATGTCTGGTTGTGGGCTTTTTTTATTTTGTTTAAGGAATTTATTATTCATCTGACCCCTAACTTAGCCCTTTGCTACTGGTGGTTGGCTTGTGTATCGGGATGAACAAACAGTGCCCGAGTGCTAATCCAGGGGCAAACTGCATAGGCCATCAATCTGAATGTAGCAGTCACTTGTTCTCTTCATGCCCTTTGCTTCTGAAATGCTGGGTGTGAGTTGCTCAGTGCAACAGGTCTCGAGTATGTTTTCTCCATGCTGCAGATAGTTGTCCTGAATCATATAAAGGCTACATGGCTTGCCTGGAGCAAAGGGGATGGAGTGTCATAGTTGCAGCTGAATTTCCTGTTTCTCAAGACCTTGCCACAGGATAAATGGCAGACATGTTTGTGAGTTAGCAGCGTTGCCATGGGAACTGTCACTAATTTTTATTTTTTTTGACTTGTCAGATACTAAATTCTCTGTCATAATGTTCCATTAATGCAGTTTTGAGAGAGGGAAGGAACCAGGTGCTGGGGTATTCATGTGACGGGAATAGCAAATGAATAAATGCCTTTATTTGAATGTGCAAGCTAAGGACTGGGCATTCCGATGTCTGGAGGAAACACATTCTTTTCCCAGTGACCAAGGAAGAAGTAGGAGGCAAGATTGGAGAGGGTTTCCATAGTGGGAGACTTGCTGTTCGGGGAGTCAGTGGACTGTGCAGGCTTTGGTTCATGCATTCCAGTCAATTTTCACATGCTCCAGGGATGAGAGTCCCCTGCACCCTCTGGAACTTGTGAGGTCTGAAATAAATGCCCAGGAGTGCCCAGGAAACGGTCTTGGTGTGCTCTATCTGGATGACAGCAGGCCGGGCTGGGACTGGGGGCCACTTCTTCCCCAAACTCGTCTCGTAGGCAGTATCAGTGTGGGCTGTGCCCATCATCAAGTTCTTTTGCTGACCCTGCTGGCTGCCACCCATTTCAGACTTCTGCTGTCATGCAATGGGGAGAGAAAGAGGAAGCGTAGTCCGAGAATGTGCAGTGTCAGGTCTGAGTGTGTAATCAGGAAAGCATTGCTTGGTTAAAACTGCTCGTAGCCCCAGTGAAGAGTTGTGTTTTAAGGAGGCCTGCACAGGGACTGCATTGCTTGGGATAGGATTGGAAAGCACTAGCCTGGGGGACTGGAAGGTACTTTCAGTTGTCAGGAAACTAGTTTGGTCATGAATCTTGCATCCAAGGCAAACGGTCCTGGTTCTGCTTTTGCCCAAACATGTCTTCATCAGGTAACTCGCCTTCTTGCTACTCACTTCTGACTCTGCTCCTTCCAAGGAACCTGCTTGGGAACAGAGCTGGGAAGGGGGCTGGGAGTCTCCCCAAGAGTGGGAGGAATCTGGCAGTGTATCCCCGTGCCACTCCTAAGAAGGGGGAGATTGCTTGCAGAGTGAGTTGGATTCAAGAGACTGTGCTGCATTGTGTGGGATGGCGACCTCATGCTTTGTATTGAAAGGGTTTTGAGTGAGGATCTGTCTTCTGAAAGTAGCAGTCCCCAGTCTGTTGTAGGAGAGCTGAGAAGCTGAACTGAAACGGAGAGAGGAAGTGTGATGTGGTGCCACAGGTTAGGTGCAGGTCATGACTGTAATCCTGCTTCTGAGCTGACTTGCTCTGTGCGCCCATTCACATCACTGGATTTTTTTTCTCAGTCTGTGGTGTGAGATGTTTGCCTTCTGCTCAGGGATGTTATGTGGTTAATCAATGATTACCAAGCTTCTAAAAGTGGGAAGTAATGATGTTAAATAAAATTTCCATAGTGCGTAGAGGTGAGGGTTTTTTCTAACTCTAATTGCCTTCTTTTGCTGTCTACTATTACTCAGTCTTCTGTGGCTGTTGGTGTATGAGGTCAGGCCAAAAAAAAAAAAAAAAAACCCCACCCAAAAAAAACTTGTGTGATTCTGAAAATGAAACAAAGGAACGGAATATGTGAACTTATTCCATCACCCAAGGTTTAATCCAGGGTCTTGCAGTTTTGGCTACGAGTGAAAGAAATACATGGTGTTCTGAGGTCTGCATAAGTACTGTTCAGGCAGTGTGGCAGCCACAACCCATCATGTTGGTGCTTCAGGCTCCTCTCAGATTTGAATCCCACTAAAATCGTTTAAGTGGACTGCAGTGATGAGATGTATCTGAGAAAACTGACTTCAGGGATGCCACACAGTAAGGCATTTATCATACTGCCTTTTAATAATTAGGTTTTGTGCTTACAGTTATTTTTCTCTGTCATGTTGCTGTGCTGAAGCACGCATCATGTGCTCTGGTGAGCCACCCAATTTAGTTCTGTAACCCATCTCCTTGCCTCCAGTAAGGGCTTGTAGCATCCCCCACTGACTGCAGTCTTCATAGCCTTCTGTCCAGTAGATTTCTCTGGTTCATGCTCCAGACAGGGAATCCACAATTATGGACTGTTAAGGCTACTGTTTGGGTAAGTTGAAGGCTGGCAAATTGCAGGATCCAGGTTGCCCTCCACACCTGTTTTTTAAGGCCCTGGATGTGCGTTCAGTGTAGGTTGTTATCAAATATGGTTTAGCTTTATTTATTTGATGCATGGTGTGTAATCACAGCTGTCTGAGTGTGTATGCATGCCAGCCTTCACCCAAATGCAATACGGCTGCTTTCTTTTCCCTGCTTCCTCCACAGCATCTAAGTGTCTCCCAGCCAGTCCTGTAGTTATCTTTGGCAGCAGCCTGATGAGATTAAGAAGCATTAGCCCCTCTAAAGTGGGCAACTTGAGGCAGTGAGTTAGTGAGGTCAGAAAAAGCTCTTACTTCAGCATGTTCAATGTAAGGTAGTTTGAGGATCAGCAAGGCTTCTTTCTTCTATGCTCCTGTCTTGGACTATAGCATTTTTACAGTATTTCATGTGCTTTGAACTCAAGGCACTTTCCTCTTAAATCTGAAGCGATGGAACCTCTTTTTCTTTTGCAATCAAGGCCATTTTTTCTTTTCTTTCCTTCCACTGCCACTCCTCCTCTAATATTTCTAATTTACCAAGCCCCCTGATCCACAGAAGCACTAGGAGGGTGGCAGGAGGAAGGAAGGCCCACAGTGAGTTGTGGAGCTTCTGTATCAAAACCATCTTGAGTGAACTTTTGGTTTAAAATGGCTTGGTCCTGACAGAGAACAAATTCAGTGTGGAATATTTTTGTTTGGGAAACAAAACTTCTAGATGTGATTTTATAAAACACAAAGTGGATCCTTATAATGGCACGTAAAGGGCAATCCTTGCCTGTGTAGAGTTGGTGTCAGTTATACAGTCACTGTCATTTGGAGGAGAACCTTTTTGGTTAAAGTATGCCTTTTTCTTCCACATCTTGAAAAACTACCAATCCAGAAACTTCTTTGCACAGTATTACCTAATAATATTACCTGTTAAGCTTCTCTTAACTGTCAGCACAGCTGTTTATCTTAAGAAGGGGTCACCAGTTCCTTGTTTCTGCCCTGTGTAAAGAAGGTTAAGTGGAATATATGTTTGACAGTGTAGTGTTGGGCTTGTTTCTGTGAACTTTGCCTTTCTGTGACCATCTTTGCCATGACTAATCCCTGAGCTGACTATCATCCTGGGTGGAGAAGTGCAGGTGCCCTTCCTCTGTGACAGGAAAGAGCAAGCATGCGGGGTTGCTGTTGTGTGAATTAAGGCTCCTCCAATTGAGGATTTAGGCCAGTCCACTTCGTAAATAGATAATTCTTCTCTTGTGGGGAGTACTTCAACTCTACAGTATGAACAGGAATTTTTACTGGATTTTCTTCTATCCTTAAAACTAGGGTTTTTCTGTCCTTATAGAACCACCAAAGAAGAGAGAGGGATCGTTTCTTTGATTCTGTGTTCACCTCCAAAGCTGTGAAATTGCCAAAACAGTTCTAGTTGCCACTCACTCCTTGCCCCATGTAACTTTTTCCCTACAGAACAGAGTCGTCGTGATGACCTGGAGAGCCTGGGCTATGTGCTCATGTATTTCAACCTGGGCTCGCTGCCCTGGCAGGGCCTCAAGGCTGCCACCAAGCGCCAAAAGTACGAGAGGATCAGCGAGAAAAAGATGTCAACGCCAATTGAGGTGCTCTGCAAAGGGTACCCTTGTAAGTGCTCTGATTTTGATGGCTGTGTTGTCTGATGCATGGCTTGCCCTCCTGCTGAAACTTCATGGAGTCTTGAATAATGAAGGCCCAGACCCTGATGTGCTGCTGACACCAGTGAAGAAAATTAAAAGAGACCTTTGATGATACAGTTCTGGTTCAGAAATGGGAAACAGATGTTTTAGTATAGAGCTGAGCCTTTTCTTAGTAAGGGCATGAGGGTGCTGGGAAGGATCTTTTAGAATCTCAAAAACATTCTGGAAGGAGGGTGGGCAGTGAGGTGAGAAGATGTGCAGGTGATCCTGAGTTATTCTGGATAATAGGAATTAGGGTCAACCAAGATGAGTTCCAGAAATAACCAGGCAATGGAGTAGAAAGTGCAATTCATTGTAGACAAACGTAGAATGATGTATGTGAGGGGAGAGTAGAAGGCTCAAACTTCGTGTCACATAGAAACCAGTAAGCTCTGATCTGACAGGTGTCAATCAGCAGTGAGCTGTTCCAGTTACAATAGATGGTTCTGTGAAAGCAGCAGATTTGCACTTAGTGGCTACTGAGGAAAGCGGATCAAGTGTAAAGGATTACTAGAAAGAGAAAAAGCACAAAGAGTACACATAAACCCATGGCCAACTCACACCCTACTTGCGCTGTGCAGCTCTGGTTGTTTTCTCTCTTTCAGAATGGGTGCAGTAGGTCTGGAAAAGGTCCAGGAAAGACCAGAAGGATGATGAGCAGTGAGGTGACTTCTACTAAAGCAGTAAATAAGCAAACTTGAATCTGGAACGGAGATGGTTAGAGAGGAGATGATCGAAGTCTGTATTCTCACTGTGCCTCCAGATTTTTGGCTGGGAGCAGATTTCTTTTCCAGTTCAAGAACTGGAGCAGCCAAATGAAGCTGGCTTTTGCTAGTTTTGAAACAAAGTTATAAGCTTCTCTATGCAGGCAGTAGGAGACCCGTAGAACTCCTTCCCTGAAGATGTGGATGCTTAAAGGAGAGGTTGGACATTGATGTGGAAGAGGGATCTACTGTGGGTTATTAAATAGAACCAACACCAAACTCAGGAACTTTTGGATCTGAAAACAGGTCAAAGCTGAGCTAGTGTCAATAGAGGCATCAGACGTGCTTGCTCTGGTGTTCCTTTTTGGTAGCTGTCTACTCCTGACCAGAAGCTACTGGACTAAAGAGGACCTCTGGTCTGAGCTGAGTGCATCTCCTGTTACACAGTTCTATCCCTTCCAGTCTTTCCAAGTGGCATCAGTCATATTCATATCATGCAAGCCTGCATTCCTCTCCTTCAGCAAACACTGTGACTTGCTGCTTCTTGCAGCAAGAAGAAGCAGACAGAAGAGGGATTTGTGAGCATTACCTCTTGTTTAAAAAAAAAAAAAAAAAAAAATACGGATGGAATCTTCTCTGTGACTAGAGCACTACAACATTCAGAGTCTGTTTTCCTCCTTTCCCAGCTCTGTGTCTGTGCTGTCCAGATGCAGCACATTGCTGCTGAAAAGCTGTGGTAGATCTCCAGTGAGGCTGGGGACCAAGTAGTGTCTAACAAGTGGCTGTTCTCTGCTCTCTCCAGCTGAGTTCTCGACATACCTCAACTTCTGCCGCTCGCTGAGGTTTGATGACAAACCTGACTACTCATATTTGCGACAGCTCTTCCGCAACCTCTTCCACCGCCAGGGCTTCTCCTACGACTATGTCTTTGATTGGAACATGCTTAAATTTGTGAGTGTGTGAGTGGGAAAAGGGCTGGGTGGGATGTGGATGGGTTTTATGGCATGGAGATATGGGAGGAAGGTAAGAAACTGCCTGTCATTTGTATTTACCCCCAGTGATCAACTTGGGAAAGGGAACCAGGTAGAGGCAGAGTTGTTCCATAGTGCTAACTGGGGGAATACAGCTACAGTTCTGGCAGCGTATCTGATGCAACATGTGGGTCAGTAGATAGATCTCTTGCTGTACAGTTAGAAATCTTCTCTCAGAAGGAGTGAGCTATACTGGGAGATAGGACAATAATGGGTTGCAGTAGCAGCTGTAGTACCACATGCTTTCATCCATACTTCTCCGTGAAGAACACCCTCTAGATGGAGTGGAAGATGGTGAGAGGAACTTGTTTATGGGATGGAGTTCTGCTTTCCTGTTGTGTTCAAACACCCTGGATTTTTCTGTCTGTTGTTGCTGTCTCTCTTAACTGACATCCATTTCTCTCTCTGCCCCAGGGAGCAGCCCGAAACCCTGAAGATATGGATCGGGAACGGCGAGAGCATGAGCGAGAAGAAAGGATGGGACAGCTCCGGGGGTCAGCCACACGAGCACTGCCCCCTGGCCCACCTGCTGGAGCCACTGGCAACCGTCTTCGCAATGTCGCTGAGCCCATGGCCTCCACCCCCACCTCCCGAATCCAACAGTCCGGTGAGCAGGATGAGAGGGCGGGGGGAATGTGTGCTGCCCCTGTTCATCAGCTGGATGCTGTAACTGCTGACTGGTGTTGTCTCGCTTCTCTATGCCTCAACAGGAAACACATCCCCCAGAGCAATCTCAAGAGTGGACAGGGAGCGGAAGGTCAGCATGAGGTTACATCGAGGAGCTCCTGCCAATGTCTCCTCATCCGACCTCACAGGGAGGCAAGAAGTGTCACGGATTTCAGCATCACAGGTGAGCCCCTGCCTGAGTGTTCCGCAGAGGGCCCTGCAGCAGATTTTGCTTGATTTGTTAGAGCTGACATGAGGGCACGCTGCCTGAAGCTTCTGCAGCACACTAGGGAGTGGTACTGGGTTACAGCTTCACTCTTCAGTTGTGTGCTTTCTGCAAGCTGTGCCTAGCATGGTCTTAGATCTGTTTTGCTCAGTTTAAGCCTTCACCTGGTAGTCTTCCAGACCACAGTGGTTTCAAGTGAACCTTGGGAAGGGTGATATGTGAGAGAAATGCTCAGCTTCTCTGTTTTGCTGTCCCTGCCCTTTCTTCATCTCCTGTATATTCTTTCTCTTCTTTTGTAGACAAGTGTGCCATTTGATCACCTTGGGAAGTGAGGAGCAATTGCCACTGGACCAGTGTTTGCTTAGGTGAGTGAGTCCTGGTGCCTGGGATCCTGCAAAGAGTGGGTTGCTAGCACCAGGGATTAGGCTAAAACCTTGATGTAACTGTGGGGGATGGGGACATTTCCTTTCCCCTTTGCCTTACTTCGAGGTGTTTTTTAGCTTTGGGAGGAAGAGCAAAGTTTGCTGCCAAAGCCTTGGGGATGAATTATCTTGGGTGTGAAAGTAGCTTCTGTTTTTCCTGGAGGGTAGGGAGGGTAGAGAAGGTGCTGGGCTGGGGAGCCATTTGTTAGTTCCTGATGAATGCTTTTCTGGCAGTGTGATGGTGGGGAGGAGTGTGAAACTTTGCACAGCTAAAGAGTATCTCATCTAACTGGACAAGGTAACTGAGGGGTGGCAGGAGAGCAGGAGAAAAAAGTGATTTGGTTAGTTCTGCTCCAGTTGGTATTGAATTTACTGGGGAGAGCCTCTTTGCCTAACTTCCTTTTCTCTCTCTCTCTCTCTTTTTTTTTTTTTTTTTTTTTTTTTTTTTTTTTTACTTTTCTTGATTTCTAGTGTCTTCACTGTATTTTTCTTTTAAAAAACAAAAAACCCCAAAAAAACAAACAAAAACCTAAAAAAAAAAAAAAACCAACAAAATCACACACACACACACACACACACAAAAAAAAAAAACAAAACAAAAACCAACAAACGACAACAGATTTTCTTTTTGCCAATGAGGAGTCGAGCTGTGCCCCGTGCTGGTACGAGCCATTTCCGAGAGGGCTGCTGCATCCCCCAGTGTGAGCACCTCCAAGGAGCCGACGACGTGGGAGCCGTGCAGAAACACCTCTGTGCAGCTGCCCCCAGCCCACCCGGGCCCTTTGCTGCCTGCCCGTACCCTCTCCTGGTTTTAGTTTCTTCTTCCTTCTTTCTCCCCTCCCCCTTGGGTATCTTCTGCTTTGTTATTTTTTTTAATTATTTTCAAATCATATGGTTTCTAGCCATATACATTTTGACTTTGCTCTCCTTTTTCTCTGAGGGCAGGGGAACGGGGTGGGGGGGGATTTGCTTTTCTGTTCTGTCCTTTTCAGGAGACTTGTGGGCCGGGAAGGAATCAGATTCCAGCCACACTCGATGATAGAAGTCCGATTTTTATTGTAATAACAGAATTTATTTTCTCAAGCATTAAACAAATTCTAAGCTGTGAGGGGAATGGTGGCAACGGCCTCATCGCTGACTCGGGCTTCCTTTCCTTGGTGGCTTCTCTGCGTCTTGGTTCCAAGTGGCTCTCCGTGCCAAGACATCCAGAGCCAAAGTACAGGGAGATGAGAACCCACTTCCCATCCCTGCAGCGGGGTCTCTTTTTGTCTGGCTGTGCGTGTTTTTTCTATTTTATTTTATTTTTATTTTTAATTTGTAATTAAACTTGTTTTAATTCCTCGGAGAGAGCGTGAGAAGAGAGGGCTACACAGAAACTCACGGAGCGGTGGCTCTTGCTCTCTCCTTCCCTCCGGCAGCCCCAGTGAGATCCACCCTCCATGCACAACCCCTTCCCTTCCCCTCCCCCCCCCACTTTAGTTGTTTTTAACTATAATTTAGGAATACTCGAGCTGCCCCGTGGCGCTTGGGGGCTCTGAAACACAGCGCTGACCACTGCGACCTGTGGCCTGTAGCAGACACACTGTCACTGGAGTGTGGGGCCCGTGGGTTGTGGGCAGGGCGGGGGGGTGGGGTAGTCTTTTCGTTCGTTCGTTTTTATCCTTTCTATTTAACGCTTCGTTTTTCCTCCCTGTTTTGTTTTTTTTTTTTTTTTTTTTTCTAATTTATTTACCCCTCTGTCTCTCTCTCTCTTTTTTTTTTTTTTAATTAAAGAGCGAAACTTTTTATTACTTTGTAATTTAAAAAAACAAACAAAAAAAAAAACCTGAAGAACTTTGGGGGGGATTTTGTACTTTTTTCCTGTGTAAATATTGGACTTTTTTGAGCTTTATCGTGGTTGTTAATTTGAAGTAATAAAGTAGAAAATGATAAAGTGACACCAGCATCTGTGCCTCCTTCTTCTCATGTCAGGGCCAGGCCCCAGGGAAGCACTGCTGTGCAGCCCACCCTATTCTGACTTCCAGGAACGAGTGTGAGTACAATTACTGGAAAAATGGAACTAAAAATAAATCGTCGTGCCTCAGGATGGGCACTGAAATGCAATGCGGGGCCTCGTTTCTGGGTGAGCCGAGTTGGTCGCTGTAGGACAGCGGGCCGGGATCCTTCCCTTGATATAAAGCGGAGGAATTTGGGATTTGTGCTTTTCGCGTTTCAATCCGAAAGCAAGTCGGGAAGGAGCGGCACCATTGGGCCGCGCTGCCCCTTTAAGAGCGAGGCGGTGACGTCATCTCCCCGCGCCCCGCCTCCTCCTCCTTCTCCTCTGGGGACGGCGCATGCGCAGGTGGGGAGGGCCGAGCGGGGAGGGCCCGGCGTCGCCATGGGCTGGTGAGAGCCGCGCGCGCCCGCCTGCCCCAGCGCCGCTGCCGGCGCCCGCCCGCGGGGCAGCGGGGCAGGGCCCGAGCCCAGCGCCGGGCCGGGCCGAGCCTAGCCCCGCCCGCAGGTAAGCCGAGGCCGGGGGAGGAGAGTAGCGGTGCTGTGGGGTGCTTGAGGGAACCAGCAGCCCCTCGCTGAGGCGGCCTCTGCCAACTCCAGGGCCTGGTGGGGCCTGTGCGTCCCACGCAGCTCCCTCCCCTCGGGGCGGTGCTGCCCACGCGGACGCGCAGCCCCCGCGCTGCTGCTGCTGGGTGTCACCCTCCTGTGTCGCCTCGTGTGGGGACGTGCGGGGGTCTGCCCTGCTCCGTGGGTGCTGTGTAGGTGTACGGGGAGGCTGTCAGTGCGTTCCTCTACTGCGTGTGGGTTGGGAGCCTGCTGGAGGTTCTGGTCGTCCTGTGGGGAGTGATTCAGGCTTGGCAAGCTGAAGGAATGGGAAGGCTTGTGCGTGTCGCTGGGTTCTGGTGAGTCGTAATCCGGGAAAAGGGATGGAGTGGGTTTCAGACGGCTTTGTGAAAGCTCCTTGGAAGGTGGTGAAGCTGTCAGAGGGGGAGGAGGAGATGGGGGAGATGGAGAGGAGATAGCAAAGGTGGGAGCATTGTGAAGAAAGTTTGGAAACGTTCTTGCCACGTATGGAGCTCAGTTGGAAGTAATCACTGAAGAAGACAGGCTTCCTCCTGGAGAAGTGCTGAAGAGAAAAAGATAAGGTGTGATCAGTGACAGAACAGCATGTGCAGGGGAAATAGTAATGTTTTGTCCTGAGAAGTTTTCGGTGCCCCATCCCTGGAGGTTCAAGGCTAGGTTGGATGGGGCCCTGGGCAGCCTCAGCTGGTGGTGGATGGGCTGGGTGAGTCTTGAGGTCCCTTCCAGTCCAAACCATTTTATGATTCTATGGAATGTCTGTTTCCTATTCTGTAGTAAGTAGGCAACAATCGATGAAACCAAGCTTACATCCTGCTAACAAAGACCTGACTTTTGTTTGATACAATGGTTACCTATTCTGCTGAATTTGTGTTGCTGGAATTTCTCCTGGAGTCCAAGAGCTTAGCATTCTTCCTAAAAGGGGCCAAAAGTCTCTTTAGAAACATTCCTGCTATTCAGATTCACTATATTGAAGATTTGTGTTTGTGCAGTAGTTTGAGAAAATTCACACTTTCAGGATGCTACTGACACTAAACACTAGGACTTAAAGGAGTGGTGTGGTGGTGATGATGATGATGATATCCCACAGCTGTCTACTTCAGGTGTCCTCAGGAATACAGGATGCTTGTGTGTTCACTCTGGTCTAGAGGAGGAGCTTTTAAGTACTTAACACCATTGTTACCATCATGCTGCAAACCTTAAGTGACACGTATGCAGCGTGTGGTTGTTTGCACATCTGGAACAGAGGTGGTTTGGTGTTGCTGTGGAGAGATGAGGAATGCACTGCTACTGAAGCCAGTGTTTTGAATCGGCTCATGGTGTGCCTTGAGTCTCTACAATCTTGAAGTGGTGTAAGTGCTGTTCTTACTTCTTCCCAAACTCCTTGGGGTTTGCTTTCTTGTGGAAGGAGAACAGTTTCTTGCCAAGACGTTACATCCTCCCAGAGCATGCAGGGCTCTGAAGGCTGTTTGAAAGCGATAAGGAGGATTAAAACACTCAGTTAAAGTAATGTAAAATACAATACTGCTTAGACTGGAAGCAGCTTTTGGAAGTGTTTTTTCATTCTGTTTCATTATGAACTAATTTAGGAAGGAGCAACCGTTCATGTTTTCAGCACAGCAACCCTCAGGATGTTTTTGGAGATGAAATATTGGTAGTGAAGGCTGTGAGCTCCAACCACCTTCCAGGAGCCTCTCTTGCTAGCCATCCTTCTCCTGAGGATAAGTACTTGCTCCCAGCAAGGTTGTCTCTGGTTTTTAGCAATCAGCTCAGCCTCTGAAGGGTTTTTGTTTGTGATAGTGTAAGTGAAATATCTGGAAAGGCAACAGAACAAACCATGTTCAGGGAAAATGCAGCGTGTGGGCAAGCTGCCCAGGAGCCTTGCTGCACCTGGGTGTCACCAGATCCTTATAGCCCCTAAGGGGCACAATTTACAGGAAATTCTAGAAGGAAGTACCTTATGTGTTCTACCTGCAGCACTGAATGTCACTTAACCCATTGGGTAAGTGCATATTTGTCTCCTCAAGTTTGTCTCTGTATTGAAAGGATGGAGATGCTGCTATTATCATCTTACAGTCACACTGTGTGGGATTTTGGTTACACTGAAAGGATCAGCTGTTTGGGGACACTGGATAATGGAGAGTGACCAGGAGCAGAGAGAGATGGCATCACAGTTTCAGCTTGCCTTTTCTAAACTGAAAGCATTCTTCCCTCCTTGGCTGTGTTGTGCATCTGGCACCTTATACAGTATGTGACAAAAAAAAAAAAAAAAAAGAAAGAAAGAAAAAACCCAAACCTCTGTGGTTCAGCAAAGAAAATGCCACATGTTACCTCGTGTGGCAGTGAAGCTTTGAGAAGGAGATGAAATGAAGTAATGCCTTAAAAGTTGACCTTGCCATGCCACTGTTCCTTTCCAAGGCTGTAAAACATGCCATGATGATATCAGAGGATGCAGAGCTGATAGCCTGGGAGCCTGCAGTTGTCTGCTCATCTCTAGCACAAATACAGCCTAAGCAGTGGTGATGAAAGTACCTTTCTCTCTCCAGGTCACTTAAAATGAGATGGAAAAGAGAGTTGTTCTCTTATTGGCTCACTGTATCTCATCTCTTTGTGGCTGGTTTTGTTAGGGAAGAGTGGTTAGAGTTGGGTGAAGTTGCTGGCAGCTAATTGCCCTAAGGCAGCTGGGAGTGACTCCAGCTGACTTTCAGACTTTCCCCTGTTCCAATATCTTTGTGATGGCACTGGTTTTATGGCAGAGCTTTAAGCCAGAAGTTATTCGTAAGGGCTGCTCTGGAAGTAATGCCTCCTGTTTTATGATGTTGGCCCATGACATCAGAAGTGGATGTAGAGTTTGAACCTTCTCATCAGTATTTTGTTACGTTTTGTTGCCATGTGACAGAGGGCAGCACAGGGGGGCTGTCTGACCAAATGGTGTCTGATGTGGAAGTACCTATGAAGCAAAGGTGTGTCACTGAATTCCTCCATGTGGAAAAAATGGCACCTATCGACACTCATTGATGCTTGCTGAACATTGATGGAGACCAAACAGTGGATGTGAGCACAGTGTGGTGGTAAGTGGTACGTTTCAGCAGTGGTGACAGCCATGTGTATCACTTCAAGTGTCTCAATCAGCTCTTTGTGCAAATCATCAGATTACAACCAGGAAGCTGTGTACAGAGCTGAAGATGCGGCCCTCAGTGGTAAAGTAATGTGCACTGTGCACTGTCTTTTGGGATAGGAGAGGGGAGATCCTCCTAAATTTTCTGGAACCCAGACATACCATCAGCTCTGACCTCTGTATCACGATACTGACTAAGCAGAAAGCTCAAACTTGCAGTTAGACCAGTGAAGAAGACAATCTTTCTCTTGCAACACCGTAATGCCAGGCTCCATGCCAGTTTAAAGACCGTGGAGCACATTGCCAGTCTTGGCTGGTCTGATGCACAGTACCCATCATGTAGTTCAGACTTCCATCTGTTTGTGCTGATGAAAGATGGACTGCGTGGGCAACATTTTCCTAGCAGCATTGCTGTCATAGCAGCTGTGAAACAGTGGGTCATCTCTGTTGGTGCAGGTTTTTATGAGTGCATCATGCAGGCACTTGGTTATCACTGCTGAAAACGCATGGCTAATGGTGGGGACTGTTGAAAAATACTGTTTTGTAGCAGCCTTCAGAAGAGGCCAGGCAAGGGTGTTCCCACTCCTGTCTCTACTCACTGTGCTTTTGGCATCAGCTTGAGGTTGGTTTCCTTCCTTAGAGATCACTTTTCTGCTTCTGAGCTTCCAGAGGTAACTTCTGTGTAAAGGAAATGTTGTGTCTGGGTTCTGTCCTTATATAGGGCTTTGCCTCTTTTTGTGGGAAGGAGCTCCTCCTCACCCAGGAATCCAGGAATACAAAGCTCCTATTTCTGCTTTTAGAAGGCTGATCTGTTGAATCTTTGTTTTTCTTGGAATAACAGGGGACAAGAAAAGTGTACCTGGGACAAAACAGGTGTAGTGATGCTTCACAGAGTAACTGTATACCATGTAGCAACATCAAGACTTGTCTTCTGTGCCTCAGCACTTTAAAATGGG